ATGTGCATACATTGTTTGGGTCATTTCTCCCCCCTTCCCCCCTTACCCCTTGCTACCAGGCAGAAACTATTGTGCCCTTGTCTCTATAATTTTGTTGAACAGGGAGTATAAGCAATAATAGGAAGGACCAAGGGTTTTTGCTAGTTGAGATAAGGATAGCTATACAGGGAGTTGACTCGCATTGATTTCCCGTGCGTGTGTGTTACCTTCTAAGTTAATTCTTCTTGAACTAACCTTTTCTCTAGTTCCTGGTCCCCTTCTCCTATTGGCCTCAGTTGCTTTAAAGTATCTGCTTTAGTTTCTCTGCTTTGAGGGCAACAAATGCTAGCTAGTTTTTAGGTGTCTTACCTATCCTCATACCTCCCTTGTGTGCTCTTGCTTTATCATGTGATCAAAGTCCAATCCCCTTGTTGTGTTTGCCCTTGATCTAATGTCCACATATAAGGGAGAACATATGATTTTTGGTCTTTTGGGCCAGGCTAACCTCACTCAGAATGATGTTCTCCAATTCCATCCATTTACCTGCGAATGATAACATTTCGTTCTTCTTCATGGCTGCTTAAAATTCCATTGTGTATGGATACCACATTTTCTTAATCCACTCGTCAGTGGTGGGGCATCTTGGCTGTTTCCATAACTTGGCTATTGTGAATAGTGCCACAATAAACATGGATGTGCAGGTGCCTCTGGGTAACCTGTGTCACATTCTTTTGGGTATATCCCCAAGAGTGGTATTGCTGGATCATATGGTAGATCAATGTTTAGCTTTTTAAGTAGCCTCCAATTTTTTTTCCAGAGTGGTTGTACTAGTTTACATTCCCACCAGCAGTGTAAGAGGGTTCCTTTTTCCCCCGCATCCTCCCAACACCTGTTGTTGGTGGTGTTGCTGATGATGGCTATTCTAACAGGGGTGAGGTGGAATCTTAGCGTGGTTTTAATTTGCATTTCCTTTATTTAGGACCCCCCTCTTAAGAGTCCCCCCCTTGAGAGTACATGAGCTGGGGGAACCAACCCTTCAAAACAAGAGCTTCTGGAGGGACTTTCAATATTGGTGATTGTTGGTACTGCAGACTGGTAAAAGAATTTACCAAGATAAGCAAGTAGGAGAAGCAAGAAGGTTATTAGGGCAGAGAGAAGCAGTACACAGGCTGAGCTCAGGGGAGAGGTGGTGCTGTGCTGATCAGGCAGGTATATTTAGGTAGTGTGAAAGCAAAGCAAAAGTGCGCCCTCTGGTGGGAAGGTGGGCAAACTCAAGGAACACTGTGCTGGGGATCCTGAGATCTCAAATTTTTACTGGGGTCTGCAGAGATGGGGTGGTCAGTCCTGGAAAACAGGGTTATGTCATTAACTCTCGGAGACTGGGCTACATGTCACCAACTCCTCGCACACAATGGGCAGAGGGAGTTTTTGGCTTTGGATAGTCAGACCAGGGCTCCAGGTCAGTAAGACCTTGCTGTATGTCACAAGCCATTTTGTTAAATCAGAGTCTAGGATGTGATTCCTCATCAACATCCAAGCCAGGGCTCTCAGCCATCAGGTGTCCTAACATCCTTGTTTAGCCCTCATCATTCAAGATCCAAATCAGAGTGGTCCCTCAACCTACTTCAGCCAGGCCTGGTCCACTTTCCACCTTTGCGAACTGGGCTCCTTGGAAAGTTTCATTGGATAACAATGGGGACACATTCAAAAGAGGACCCCTTATCTTCCCTGCTCTATGCTGTGACACCTGCACAGCCCCCACGTATGGCAGGGACCAGCCGGAAGTCTGTTGCAGGACCATGTGGAATAGAGGCTTCTCGTGCTGGTCCCCTGATCATCAGCTGTGAGCTGCTGCAGGGAGAGCTGTGGGTTCCTGGGGGGAAGTTTGTCATTCTCTTCTCCAGCTCCCCAAGCCCTCGATATTCCCTTGAGTTGCCTGGCCAGTGACTCTGCTCCCCATCAGTGAGATGGCATTGGCAAAGCACATCCCAAGTGAGCTGTCAAGAATGCGTGGCCACTGCTCCTTTTCTGAGGGCCCTGAAAACCTCCGTCTGTTAATTTGCTCCAGGACTTGCTGGGGAATTAACACCATGCTCCCCAGTTTCAAAGCAATCGGTTTGAAAATCCAGGAGGCTTTTGCCACCTGCAGTTTGGGGGTTCACCTTCCTTTCTCCAGAGCCCTTCAATTTCAGGGTTCCAGGGTCTAATTTTGCTGGGCAGGAAGAGCCAGAATGCATACAGGGCACACGCTTAACTCAGAATCTCAGACTGCCTGACTCTCCAGGAGACATTAGCAGACCTCATGCAGAGCGCAGTGGGGGTTCCTCTCTCCTCCTGCCTGTGTACACATGCCCATCTCCGTGGAGGTTCACCTGGGGACCTGGGGCTGTGACGGGGCCTCTTGTTGCTGCTGAACGAGGCTGTAGTTCTTCCCAGGTGTCGTCTGGGTGAATCTCCCAAATCCTGCTGCAGAGCTGGGATCGGGCCATTGCATTTATGTCAACATTTTCATGTTTCTACCCACGCTGTGCTGCACAGCTCACAGAGGGTCAAATAACACCTTTGTAGACATTTCTCAGGACATGCTGCCTGGTCTCAACTGGGACCAGTTCTGCTCAGTTGACCCTGAGGGTGACTAATGGAAGTGACAGTGACCATGGGTGTGGGGAAATGGTAGGATGGAGGGAGAAACTGAGTGTTCAGGGTTAGCCCTGAGTACCCTCGGCACCCACCCTGTAGGCCCCCACAGCTGTGGACAAGGGTGGAGAGACAGTTGGAACTCTCCAGTCATGCCGGGGTGACGATTTACTTAGGGTGCCGAGTGCGTGGGTGATGACCTTGGCTTTTGTCTCTGGAGCCGTGCGGCGCATGGGTAATTAGAAGAGCTGATCACGATTCGTGCCTTTCCAAGGCTGTGATTAAGCAAAAATAGCCTCTATTCTTCAGCCGGCAGGAGGAGCTGCGGTGAGCTTGGTGGGCCACCATCCCAGAGCTGGGGCTGGCAGGGTGCTGGGGGCTGATGTTGGGAGCTGGCGCTGGGGTTGCTGGCCTGCCTCAAAGCCTGTCACAGGAACAGCTGTGGGTTTACCCACCCCAGCTCTGGGCACAGCAGGGACCCAGCCAGAATAAAGCCATGGGAACAGAAATGAGCAGGAAGTGGGAAGATGATCAGCCCCTTGCATCTCCCCCCGGGCCCCCTGCCAGCAGCTCTCCTTAGAGGCTCTGGGGGGGTCCTCTGGTGGCAGAACCACCAAGCCCAGGCCAGGCAGTTCTAGAATTCCCAGAGGTTTTCAGATATCAGTTCTCCAGAGGGCTGGCAAGAAATGTACTTCCCGTGAGTGCTTTCCTGAACCCATTTTCTACCGGACTTTAGCAGCACAGAGAAGTCTCACAGCTATGCAGGCCCTGAGAGCTTCACTTGCAAAAAGTTTTCACAAAAATGCCAGGTCCAGAAAGCTGATAAACACTGCTCTCGAGGGGCCCTGAGCCTGATGGGAAAATAAGCAGTGACAACTAGCAGGGCTTTGCAGGTCACATAGGAGTTTTCTGGTCTGTGAAGGGAGGAAGGGCTTAAAGCAGAGTGAGCAGCATGAGCTTGGGAAGGAGGGAAAGAGAGGTCTTGTAGGTGAGACAGAGCCAGTGGCCTTCATCACCTGGATGGGTGATGCCTATGACATGGTACAAGCAGGGCAGCCTCGAGGCTACCTTTCTGCTTGATCACAGAAGCCTCCGCCTCTCTGTGGGTTAATTATTCTCAAGGGGGCAGAGTCTCCATCTGGTCGGCAAGGTCTCCCCATCTCCCTCACCCAGAGCTCAGCAATTCTGGCTTTTATGCATTTAGGGAGCAAGGCTTTGTCTTCAGACTGCATAGGAAATAAGGCTCTGCCCTTCTACAAGGGAGGGGGCTAGTGATGCTGAAGGTGGCCATGCTCGCGTCCAGCCTGCGGCTTCCCTGCCCACTGAGCATCCTTGCCTGCCTGTGTGATGCCCAGAGTATCTCATAGGCCCTTAGGAAGCTGACTCTAGGCAGATGTGTCCTCAGTGAGGACACAGGATCCAGTCCCCACCTAGTGGAGGGCAGGGTGCCCAGGAGACAGCAGGACCCTCATGTCTTCGCTGCAAGTTATTTATAGCCTAGCGATGGTAATTTGTGGCAATCACAGCACTTAATCCCATAATCACACTGCAAGCAGGCATCCAGCCCAGCAAGGCTGATGAGTCTGCCAAAGCCCAGAGAGGGACCTGGAAGTGGGGTAGGCAGGTGCAGAGGCCCCGGCTCTGTGTCCTGTCCCATCACCGGATGACAATAACAATAGCAGCTAATAGCACACTTACTATATTCCATGCCTGGTTTAGCCTCTCCACCACCCCCGATCTAGTTAGCATTGCTGACCCTATATTCCAGACAAAGAAAGCGAAGTGTGGGTCACACAGCTGACAAGAGCCATGCCTTGAACTTGGGCACCTGGTTCCAAAGTCTGTGGTTTTGGAGGCCCACCCTCACATGTGGAGGTGTCCCAGGCTCCCCACACTGTGACCTCAGCCCTGACCTCAGCCCTGCCCACGCTCCCGGTTCCTCTTGGTCCTCCTGCCCCAGAGCTGCACAGGAGGCTGTGCATACATGAGGCACAGATGCTCTGGAATGGCTTCCTTCCTGAAGCACTCTGCTCTGCTGACACACTGTTCCGTGTTGTAGAAAGGTCTTGGGGCAGCAGCACCCCTGCACTCTAATCTTTCAAGAAGTGGTATTTTCTGCTGGATGTAGGGCCCTCTCGCAGGGTTTCTTAGCCTTATTTGTTATGTGGCCTGGGGCAAATGAATTGGGTTGTTTGAGCCTCAACTTGCTTATCTGTAAGATGGGGCTAAGAACAAGAGCATCAAACTCAGTGGGTGATTGTGGGGACCAGATGATAAATGTCAAATCCGTAATGCTTGGCACTTACTGAGTGCTCTGTAAAAGCAGCAGGGATAAAGGAGAATGATGACTTCAACTATGATATATTGTAAGAACTTTTGTCAGTGTCACAATGTACTCCCAGGACAACAATAATGTGAGAAGAATAAAAAGAAAGTGGTAGGCAGAGCTAGGCATCAGAAAAGTTTTCTTCCTTCTAAAAGTAAAACTCCTCCATCACTTAAACGATTTCCTGTCTGTATCGGTGGCCGCTCAGAGCTCATAAAGCAGTTGCTCTCAGACCAGGGTTGTGTCTGCAAGGACAGAATATTTCAGAAATGCACCTCCCCGCTGAGAACAGCTTCTCGTTTGGAATTCTTTGCCAAGCACCCTCCCCGGCATGGCTGGGAGATGTAGCTTCAGACCCAGTGGGCTGGGGCTTGAAGGACCCTCCCTCAAGATCTGTGAGTTCCCCATCACCACCTGGCTGTGGATTTCAGGCACACAGGGAGTAGCCCTCTTCTTCTGGTGGTGGCGTGGCGGGCTGGGTGGGAAGAAGGACTTTTTTGGAGTGGAAGGTGACTGTTTTTGAGGTCTTTTTCCATCCAAGTCTAGTACTGTCACATTTGGGAGCATGGGTGTCAGCACATTTTTTCTGGAAAGGGCCAGAGAGTAAATATTTCAGGCTTTAAGGGTTGTAGTCTGATGGCACTGCTGAGGTCAGCCACAGTGGCGTGAAAGCAGCCATGGACAATATGTAAATGAAGGAAACTGGCTGGGTCCCAGTAAAACTACAAAGACAGGAGGCTGTGGCTGTAGACCTGTGCTTTAAAGAAATGCGAGTTCAAGGGGGCAGGGTGCCAAGAAGCCTTTCCTGGAGGAGGGAGCAAGCCAGGCAGGAGAAGCAAGAAGAGCATTTCTGAGTGATGGGCTTCACCCCAAAGCTCATAGGTGATGTTGAATGTCATTCCAAACACTGGTTGCACCGCTCTGAGAGTCTACCTTGCCCTGGACCACGGTCCCATGGTTCAAGGCCTCTCTAATAGCTTCATCCAGATTTGTGTCTGTGCACGTGTGTGTATTGTGCTGGTGATGGAACCCAGGGCTTTGTGCATGCTGGGTGAGTGCTCTACCACTGATCCACACCCCAGCCCCAAGCTGATATTTTTTAAAGATTATTTATCCAGTGTGTTAGTCAGTGTTCTCTGAGAAACAGACCCAACAGGCTATATGAAAGGTTATAGAAAGTAATTTGTTATGAGAGATGGGCTCTTGCAGTTGTAAAAGGTCCTGAGATCTGCTGGCCAGAGAAACCAAGGAAAGTCAGTAAGGTAGTTTCCACTCAAGCCCAGAGGCCTGAGGACCAGGAAAACCAATGCTGAGGGCGGGAGACCATAGCTTCCAAGTTCAAGGACAGAGAACAGAGCCTCTCTCCCCTTGTCCTTTTGTTCTGCTCAGGCTCTCAGCAGATTGGACAGTTCTCTCCTACCCTGGGGTCCAAGGAGGTGGGTCTCCCTTCCTTCATGGTTAGTCTAATACACCAGGAATCACATGTCGCCAGCTGTCTGGACATTCCTTAACCCAGTCAAGCTGCCATGAGATGGACCATTACACCGGCTCTTCCATTGTTTTCAGAGGGAGGCCATCATTAGATGGTCACCATTGTTGCTGTTACTGGTAAAGATAGCAGGACATCACCTTCTTTGGACACCTATCCTCTTCCCCAGGGCAGCATCCTTGACAGTGACCTCTGCTGGTCCACCTTCCCTGGCAGGACGAAGTACTTTGTGTGGTTTGGACATCAGAGGCGGGGGCTTGATGGGGCGACTCTGCCCAGCTCCAAACTGTAATTCTAGCTCAGGGATAAGCCAGGGACCCACCTGTGCTGCCATTGGAGGCCAGGGACTGTCCTGTTGAAGTGGGCAGCCTGGGATGCTGAGTTCTCCTTCTGTTCTCTCTGTAGGAGAGCTCTATTGGGTTTCTCTGAGAAGACAGAAGTTTCCAGCCCAAGGAAGCATTGAGATCCACGATGACAGCGAGGTGTGCTGCTCTGCAAGGTGTCCGGGCCCATGTGTGGTTGGAATTTTAGGAAAAGCCCTGGGATGGTAGACAGGCTGCTAGCTTCCATCCAGCTCTTCATTTGACTTGCTGTGTGATCCTAGGCAACTCTCTGTCCTTTCTCTGGGCTTCAGGCTCCCATACAGACAAGAAGGGTCTCTCCAAGACTTCCTGTCCTGATGCCCCTTGAGGATCTTACTCTCCTGGGAGACCGTCCTTTCTTTGAATGCATCCAAGGCCCCATCACACAGGGGGCTGTAGAGCACCTAGACTAGAACTCCAGCTGCAGTCCTTTGCGTATGTCCCTTTGTGTCCCTGCTCCTGCTGTCCACCTGTCTCTATTGTGTTGTCCCTCTCAGGAAGGCTGCTCACAGCGCTCCTGCAAGACGCATGTCCTCCTGCTGGTGCTGCACGGGGGGAGCATCCTGGACACAGGCTCGGGTGACCCATCCTGCAAGGCAGCTGACATCCACACCTTCAGCTCTGTGCTGGAGAAGGTCACGCGTGCTCATTTCCCTGCTGCCCTAGGCCACATTCTCATCAAGTTCGTCCCCTGTCCTGCCATCTGCTCAGAGGCATTCTCCCTTGTCTCGAAGTGAGTCCAGCTCTGCTAGGTTGAACTGCATGGGGTTGGCCTTGGGGGGGTAAGTGGAGGGGCCGCTCCTGCCTCTCTGAGGTGTCAGATCTGGACTGACCATGAATATCACTGATGGGGAGTGGAAACACGAGTCCTCTGCCTGGGACCACATGGTACCAGAGTCCTGGTAACTGATGCCCCTAGACTCCTAGCAATTTCCCCCAGTGCTCTCCACCCTCCAGAGAATGGTGCCAGGAGTCAAACCCAGCTAGCCTCCTCCCAAGCCTCACAATTGCAGCTTGATAGGGATAGGTGCTATAGTGGAGGTGGCCAGGGCACTGAGCTCTCTGAGAGGGCCAGGGAGACTTCTGAAGAGGTGACTTTGGAGTGTGATAACACGGCGAAGTGTGTGACCTCTTAGGCCAGCCTGGGTTTGTTTACCCTCTCCCTGCCTCAGTTTTTGCATAAGCATGTAGGGGTAGTAGTGGTACTGACCGTGCTTCCTAGAGGTGTGAGGATTCTGAGTGCTGGTGCACATGCAGCACTCAACCCTGTGTAGCATGTGGGAAGTCCCTGCACAGGATGCAGCCTGTGACTGGCAATTGGCCACCTCAGCCCCTTGGGGGCAGGGGGACGCTCTCCAAGACTCCCATAGAGCACCTGGCTGTTGGGGAGTAGTAGGGCAGGACTGACATGAACAGAGGCACAGGCTGAGCACAGGATAGCTCCCTCACTGCAGGTGGGCACAGACCTGCCCACTGTGGGCCCTGGTATCTGTGCGGGACAAATGGACCAGGACCCTCCAGGAGCCTACAGGTGATCCTGCCCACTATTCCTTTACCTGGTGAAGTGGCTGAAGGTGATGCCTGGGTCCAGGTGGATGCCTGCTTTTTCATCAGCTGTGTCCAAGAAAGGGCTGTGCACCTGCAGAGCCCATGCCCCCTATTGCATTTGGCAAATTATTTCTACTGGAAGCTGGGAGTTGGGAACTTTCTACGGCTGGGGGAGGGGAGGTGTTGGCATCTCTGCATGCCCCCTCGCCCCTCTCCCTATGCACATGACCTTGCCAGGGCTAGAGGCTGGCCCACAGGCAGAGCCCCTGTTCTCAGGTAGGGGAGGGCAAGAAGAGAGGCCCAGAAGCGAGAAGGTGTGTGAATAGCATCCAGCACCCTGGGCTCTGCAGTGCAGGCACAGGTGAGGGCCTGAGACCCCTGCCCCCAGGGCTTCCAGTCAGGAACCCACATGGCCAGGAGACCACATGGGCTGCCCTTCCCTTCCTCTGCTTGTGCATGCAATGGGTAGAGAGCAGAGATTTTTTTTCCGTGCTCCCGGGATGCTGTCGGCAGATGTCAATCCAAGAAGGAAGGAGGGAAGCAAGAGGCCAGTGGTTGCCCAGCCCAGCTAATCGCTCCATCCCTGGTGGAATTCTTGTCAAACTGTGAAAGTGCAGGATGTGCAGGCACCCCCGGGATCGGCCAAGTGGAGGTGGGGGAACACTGGAATCTGAATCTCTGACCAGGGCTTGCTGCTGCCTATTCTGCAGCATCTGGGAGCCACTGAGCTGATAACGTGGCTCTGTTCTGTCACACTCACGACAGTTCCCAGGTCAACTGTGCTGGTTGACAGTCAGTCTCAGGACCCCTGCCTCTCAGCCATCCCTAGGACATCTGACCTCTAGAGCTGGGTCACCCTATCTCCAGAAAGATGGATGTCGGGGCCATTTGAGAGGACAGCAGGAGGGAGCTTACCTCTCCCCCAGGCAACTCCTTGCCAGGGCCATTAATCACCCCGTAATCACTGCTGGGAGGGAGCTCTTTCTCAGCTAATTAAAATCTCTCTGGCTGCAATTGAGGCCTGTTTCCTCTAATTTGTGTTCTTTGGAAATGAGGAATGGCTGACAGGCGATCCTTGCACACCATGAAGATTCTGCCACTTGCTAAGGGTGCCTGAGCCCTGTCACCGGCCCTAGATTGGGTTGGGACCCCAGCAGGACAGTGCTGGGTCATCCACCTTCCCAAGCTTGGACTGTGAGGAAAGACAGTTCTGGGGAGGGGACAGGGAGTTCCCAGCATTCCTCTGTGTCCCTCCTGACCAGCCAGACCCAAAAATGCAACAGGGTTGGGTGCACCAGGGGACAGAGGCAAGCCAGGTGGGACAGGGAGGCTGCTGGGAAGCTGGTCTGCATGAGACTGAACTCCCAGAGAGGGAGGGACTTCCTAGTAGGCAAGTAGGGAGGTGGGGGCAGGTTGCAAAGTCCAGACAATCTGTGGGAGTGGGATGCTGTAGGGCAGGCACTCTTAGCTCTTTCTTGCAAGGCTGATAAGCAGATTATACCTCCAAGCTGGGGCCATCATGTGATCCCCACGTCTGCTTCTTTCCTCCCTTCTGTTTCCACAACCCTTCCTTGAGTGCCTTGTCCAGACTCCTGGCTCCTCCAGGAAGTCTGCCATGATGATATGTTCCCACTCTATCCATATTACTGGCTCCCTGCCGCCTTCTTTCTCCATGCAGAAGTGGGAAGGAGAGCACTGTTGTGCCATATCATAGGCACAAGGTGAGCACAATGGGGGATCAGAGCAGGCTCGGGTACCCATCTCTACTTCTCCCACCCCCAATTCCTGCCTGGGTCCTTGTGAAGAGTCCCCAGAGCCGAGGTCTGCTGCCTGGCCAATGTGTGCTGAATTCTGTTGGCTCTCGGCGCCACACCTGCCCAGTACCTGGTCCTGGCTGGGCTTACCTTGGACCCCTGTCTGCAGCCTGAACCCCTACAGCCATGATGAGGGCTGCCTCAGCACCAGCCAGGACCACATCCCCCTGGCTGCTCTGCCCCTGCTGGCCATCTCCTCCCCGCAGTACCAGGATGCCGTTGCCACTGTCATCGAGCGAACCAACCAGGTTTACAGCGAGTTCCTCAAGTCCTCTGATGGGATCGGCTTCAGTGGGCAGGTAGGGCTACTCCTTCCCTTCCAGCCACTGCCTAGGGATCAAGGTAGGCCGCTCTAGGACACTGTGCGAGATCTGGGGGTTGCCTTCAGTTTATAGACAGGAAAACTGAGTCCGACAATCTGAGCTCGGATTTGGAGCCCATGCTGAGCCCCAGCCAAGTCTGACCTCTGAGCACAGCCTGAGCCTGAACCTAGACAAAACCTGACCCCTGGAGGAGCCCCACCCCTGCTGGTCTCTAGGTGTGTCACTAGGACAGGTTCCTCACCCCTCTGCCCTGGTGGGGTGGTCTGCAGCCCAGCTGTGCTTCCTGCAGGTGTGTCTCATCGGGGACTGTGTGGGTGGCCTCTTGGCCTTTGATGCCATCTGCTACAGTGCGGGACCTTCAGGGGACAGCCCTGGCAGTAGCAGCCGGAAGGGAAGCATCAGCAGCACCCAGGTATGCAGGTGGGGAGGGTCTGTCCTTGGGTGTCTCCCCCAGCAAAGGGAGGTAATGCTGGGCCTTCATGTTGGTGCCATGACATCTGTGATACAAAGGATTGTAACAGCAAGGGATTATTAGTACAGGTGGGGAAACTGAGGTCTGGGATGACTTCTTTGGGTATCTCTCCCTAGACAGCAATCCAGTGCCCCAGCTGGGTGGCCCATCCTTGTGGATGTAGGAGACAGCTTGTGCCTAAAATCCTCCCAGTACTGTGCTGCAGCTCCCATGTTGTAGGAGAAAGGGGTTCATTTGTGCCTTGGACAGGAGGCAGGGCCCTAGAGTCCCCTGTGATGGCCATTCTTCCTGTCCTCAATCCGGCCCCCCAAGGATACCCCAGTTGTGGTGGAGGAAGATTGCAGCCTGGCCGGCAGCAAGCGGCTGAGCAAAAGCAACATTGATGTCTCCAGTGGGGTGGAGGAGGAGGCGCCCAAGAGGCCGGTGCCACGGAAACAGAGTGACTCCTCCACCTATGACTGCGAGGCCATCGCCCACACCATGCCTTCCTCTCCAGGTAACCCCTCCCTGGCCTCTGCCTTCTTTCTATCAAAGTGTCCAGGGGAGAGAGAATTTTGTCTCACAGTCATCTGGGAGCATGTGACCAGTCATATGTCCCAGGCTATCCCCATGGGGACCCATAGACAAGCTCCAAAATGCTGGAACCAAGACCATTTGCCATTGGCTTTGCTTAAACTTGCAGCAAGACTGGGGCCAATGCATTTTATCTGAGCTTCAGTTTCGTCTTTTGCCAGGGCTAATGCTGCCAGCTGGTTCCCTGGGTGGGCTGGAGAACCACATGGGGCATGTGTTGTGAGCTACTATGAGTGTGAGTTTTACTGTTTGTCCGTGGAGAAGCCACATTCCAGTCACCAGACGGCTGGAGTTATCGTGCTGGTCTCCCCATCTGCAGTCAGTGCCTTGGGCACAGCACACTTGTTTGTAGGCCAGGCAGGTCCCTCTATGAGCTGTCCTTTCACTTTCTAGAAGAGATGGTTGATCAACAGAGGCTAAGTGAATCATCTGCACACTAATTCAGGGTGTAAATGAGTACAGAACACAGACCCAAATTGGCAGGAATGTCTTTTTCCTTCCCTCGCTCCTCTTTCCCTCCTTTCTTATGCAAGTGACAAGTATCAAGAGGTCATTCCAATACTTGGAAAATATATCATCTTACCACTCAGAGGAGCCACTGTCACATTTTGGAGTTTTTCCTTTTTGTAGTTTTTACATACTTTGCATCTGGGTTTAGTTAAAACAAACAGAGAAGTAAATTCAATGCCTCTTATATTGTGCTTTTTTTCCCCATAGACTTAAAAATACTTGGTAAATATTCTCATTCTCTCTGCCTCTTTGTCTCTCTGTCTCTCTCTGTGCTGGGGATTGAACCCAGGACCTTGCACATGCTAGGCAAATGCTCTGCCAACTGAGCTATGGATCTAGCCTTTGTTGTTACAATTTTGTCTTTGAAACAAGGTCTTGCTACTACTACCTTTGCCCAGGCTGACCTTGAACTTGTGATCCTCCTGTCTCCGCCTCCCAAGTAACTGAGATTATAGTCATGTACCACCTGGCCAGCTTAGTTAATATCCTTAATAACAATATATTTTATTGAGTGAGTAGACAACAGCCTACTTAATCCCAGTAATTATATATTGTGACTTTCTAGTTTTTCACTAAAAAAAGCACTATAGTACTGCATAAATATTGATGTGTATGTCAGGCTTCCTGGAGTCTTACCTTAGCCACAGTTTTGCATTCTGTGCTTTCAACTCATGATCAACCATGGTCTGAAAGTATTAAATAGAGAATTCCAGAAATAATATAGTCATAATTTTAAATGACACACTGTTCTGAGTAGCATGACATCTCATGCTGTCCTGCTCTGTCATGCCCTGGGTAAGAATCATCCCTTTGTTCAGAGTATCCACACTGTATATGCTACCTGCCTGTTGGCCATTTAGTAGCTGTCTCAGGTATCAGATCAGCTATCACAGTATTGCAGTGCTTGTGTCCAAGTAACCCTTATTTTACTTAATAATGGCCCCCAAGCACAAGAGGAATGATGCTGACAATTTGGACATGCTCCCTTTAAGTGAAAGGTGAAATTGCAAATAAGATATTTTGAGAGACATGTTCACTGTAATTTTTTACAATATTCTGTGGTAGTCGTTACATTTTATTATTAAATGTTGTTCTCTTACTGTGCCTAATTGATAAATTAAACTTTATCACAGGTAGATAAGCATAGGAAAAAACCCTATAATACTCATAGGCTTGGTGCTCTCTGGTTTATGGCACACACTGAGGGGCTTAGAATGTGACCCTGTGGATAAGAGGGCACTGTATTCCCTTCTGGTGGCTTCCTGGAGGAGGAATTACTAGCTCACAGACTCTGTGTGGTTAAACTTTTCAACATTTAAAGCTCTTCTCACAGATTATCCTTTGGAAAAGCAGCTACATGCACGAGAGAGCTGCAAGGTAAAAACCTCAGCATTTCTGATTCATCCTTGAAAACTCTCTTAGGAAAGCCCCAAATCTGGAGAATGACAGGACGTCGGAGGCTTTCGATAGCTGGCCCAACGAAGCCAGCTTTTCCCTCTGGTGCATGGACAGATGGCTGTTTTTTTGGCAATTAAGTAGTTGGCTCATGTTTAGGGGCCACATTGTGCATGAAACATTCACGGTTATACACTAGCGCCATTGTCCTCACTGTGAGGTGCTCACCCTGCAAGATGTGGAGGGGAGCCCAAGGACCACATTCCAGAGGATGGGACTCCTGCCCACTGTTTCAGTTGTTACTTCTAATTTTTTGTCTTGTCTGAGTGGTGTGTTTTAGTTGAATTTACATTCAGCTAATTGGCTGGACATATCATGCCATTCCTTTCTTGAGTTTTTCACCTGTAAGTTGTTCCCTGTGCTTGCTGAAAGGAAGAAGAGGTCACCAGCTTGCCTCTGGGTCCTTAGCACCCAGCTCGGGGGCTATGGCTGAACAGAACCTGAACCAGGCACCTGGCATGGGGATGGTTGGGATTCTGTGTGTCCTCTGCTGGCTGGAGGGGCATGGGGAGGCCAAGCTGTCTGCATCTGTGTCTGTGGGTTGCCTGAGACATGAGTTATGACCATAGCCCTGATCATGGCAGGACTGACACAAGCCAGCTGGTCTGTGCCTTGGCCAGGCTGGGCATCTCCTGCAGACAGCATGGGAATTCTCCATGCAGCTGTCACGAGACAACACCATTGGGAAGGCCTGCGTGCAGGGAGCTCAGTTGCTCTTAGGTGTCAGCCTGTTTGTGTAGAGAAAGCTGTGGATCACAGCCACACACACTGGTCAAGTATCTTTGTGGCTGCTTTCATGCTTCTGTGGCTGAATCCAGTCAATGCGAGGGAGACCACATGGCCCACAAAGTCTGAAGTATTTACCATCTGGCCTTTGGTAAAAAAAATTTGCTGACTGCTGCGCTAGGCAAATGTTGGCTGGGCCTTGGTGACCAGTGCTGAGATTGTCTCCAGCTCGGGTCCTTGGTGTCAGGCAACTGGACACTACTTCTGAACCCTATCCTTGCAGTGGAGCGCTACACTTTCTGCCCTTCTCTAATCTGCCTTTCCTGGCTCTTCATCCCTCTGACAGCATCCACTCCAGCGTGCTGAAGGATGAGGCAGAGCAACCAGTGGCCGGGGCACCCCAGCTCCCTGAGGTCAGCTTGGGTCGCTTTGACTTTGATGTGTCTGACTTCTTCCTCTTTGGCTCACCCCTGGGCCTGGTCCTGGCCATGCGGAGGACGGTGCTGCCTGGGTTAGATGGTGGGTATGGTGTGGACTGGGACCTGAGATGCCTGTCAGGGTCCCAAAATGGGGGAGGGGGAGCAAGAAAGTGGGGAATGGGGCAGAGAGGGTAGATGGAGAGCGAGGCCAGGAGGTACTGGGAGAGGTGGCATGGAGGAGGCATCTTCCCCACACGGAGCCCTATCTTTGTGAGGCAGTCTGATGAATTTCACTGTCCCTGTCAGTGCTGGCTGACTTGCCCCACTGTGCAGCAGCCACGCCCTGTGGGAAGAGAAACCACAAGTATCTGTGGCATCACACTGAGATCTCTCCCCCGTGCCAACAGCCCCCTACAGCCAGGGGTTCTCAGTGCCTTTGCCGGCGCAGTTCCATGTGGAAGTCGTTTCTTTGTCTTATAGGGTACATACACAGTATGAGGCCATCGGACCAGTGAGGGCTTTAGCTGGGACCCTGAGGACAGGTGCACAGATCCTCAGTCATTGCTTTCTGACAAAGCTTAGTATTAACCTGAAACATGGACCAGAGTAAGAGGAAGGGGCTCTGGCTAAAAGGAGGCAAGGAAGCAGAACCCACGGTGTTATAGGAGAGCCCTGGGGCTCCTGGGATGGGGCTGCAAGTCCAGTCCCCTGACGTAGAGAAGCATGGTGGGTGGCAGAGGCTTCGGTGAAGACTCCTGTTGGTCAGTGAGAGAAGTGCCCTGTCTGCTCCTACAAACCTGGGAGGAACTGAGTGTGGTCGGGGGGATTTCCTAGGGCCCTGAGCTCACTGAAGGAACTTGGATCAGCTTCATAGATCAGATAGCAGCTGAGTGGAAGCTGGAGGCCCTGGAAGGACTTTGATCAGTGGAAAAAGTGGAGGCAAAGAGGGCCTCCTAGGAAGAGAGGCACAGAGCAAGGAAAGCAGCAAGTGGGGATTGCATGTGTGTACTGTACATATGTGCACCATGACTGCAGTGCTGGTGTTTGTGATGGCATTTTTGGTGGGCAGATTGGCAAGACCTTGAATGCCAAACCAAACTTCATTCCTGTTGGTGGCAAGAAGCCACCAGGGTGTTCTTGAACAGAAGAGAAGGCTCTCAGACTGCAGTCCAGGGAAGACTTCTGGGTCATGGGGCAGGTCCTAGAAAGGGCCTTCCCCCTGTGTTCTTCACTCACCCCAGGTTTGCAGGTACGTCCTGCCTGCAGCCAGGTCTACAGCTTCTTCCACTGCGCAGACCCTTCTGCCTCAAGGCTTGAGCCGCTGCTGGAGCCCAAGTTCCACCTGGTGCCTCCTGTCAGCGTGCCCCGCTACCAGAGATTCCCACTGGGTGATGGACAGTCCCTCCTCCTCGGTAGGTACTCGGGCTGTGAGAATGGGCTGAGCCAAAGGCCTGAGAATGTGTCTCCCAGGTAGCTGTTCAGGGCTACTTGCTCTGGTGCAGCTTTCTGCACCTCTAGCTAACAGGGTGGCTCACAGAAGCAGGTCTGTTGTGCTGAGCGGAGACCCAGTACTTGCCTGACCTTGCACTTCCCCTCCAGCTGACGCCTTGCACGCCCACAGTCCCCTGTTCCTGGAGGGCAGCTCCCGGGGCAGCCCCCCGCTTCTGGACACCCCCACCTCACCCCTGAGGTTCCAGCGCCCAGGACGGAGGCTGAGTGAGGGCAGCTCCCACAGTGACAGCTCAGAATCTTCTGACAGCCTGGCACCCCTGGATGCCTCCTACAGTGAGTGAGATCCTTTTGGGGCCCTGCCTGCCTTGGAGGGAGAGGAGCCACCTGGGTGGTGGCTGGCAGGGAGGACGTGTGGAGGAAGTCCTGGATGGCATTCCTACCTGCTGGAATCTGTGGGTCTGCTGGTGGAGACCTGGCTTCAGACTGAATCCTTATGGAATCCCCAGACTGAGCAATGATCCTGGAGAGAACCTTGACCTCTGACCCTAGTCAGAGTCTTGAATTTTGATCCTGGCACAAGACTGAGTTTTGAGCTTGAATAGAGCTCTGATCCCTGACTTTGGCCTAGGACTTAGTTTTGACCTCAGAGTCCTGACTTCTGATCTCTAACCACAGTCTGAGACCTGGCCTCAAACTGATTCCTGACCTTGGACAGCTCATGGGGACCTCTTCTGAGCAGCATTGGGGTGTGACTGTGACTGTCTCTATGGGTCGGGTCCTCCTTCCTGGGTCTAGTTTGGAGCCTGTGTCATAGAGGAGGAGCAGGCAAAGGAGTAGGGGTGGTGAGGAGGTAGAAGGAGGACCAGCCCCTCTGCGTCCTCAGCTCATTCAGAGCAGGCCTGGTGGCACTGGGTCTGTGCAGTGGGAGGCCCATGCTGCTCCTTGGCTGCTCTGTCCTCATCAACCTCTTGGCTCCGCAGTCACAGCCAAGTGGTGGGGCATGAAGCGGATCGACTACGCCCTGTATTGCCCCGATGTCCTCACCGCCTTCCCCACTGTGGCCCTGCCCCACCTCTTCCATGCCAGCTACTGGGAGTCCACTGACGTGGTTGCTTTCATCCTGAGACAGGTACTGTGCCCCCCTGGCTAGGCTCAGCCCACAGGCACCTCCAGAGGATTCCATGGGTCCCCTGAGGCCACACTGAGCACTTGGCCTCTAGCTGACAACACAGGGAAGGCACTGGAGCACTCATGCCGGGAGTGGTGATGTGGCCAGAGAAGAGGTTTCTTTTTTTTAAAAGAACTCTGACTTCTGTGTGGCTAACAGAATGGTGCTTTCTAGAAAATTAAACAGGAAGTGTATAGGAGACCATACCAGGGTGTCAACATAGAGACCAGAGCTATACATCCCTGCTCCCTTCCATGTCTTAGTGTCCTTGGCTTTAAAATAGCAGGTACAGCAGAAAGGCCAGTGACTGTGGGGCTGGGGAGCAGGTGGACAGCCTAGATGGCCATGGTCGGGGCATAACTTAGCCTGGGCTCAACAAGAAGCCATGCAGGGCTGTGAGCAAGGAAGAGCTATGACTGACTGGTGTTTTGAGAAGGAAATCTTGGGGTTGTTGTTTGGGGTGGGGAGAAGGGCAGGGAGTCAGAGAGGCAGAGTGAGGTCCCAGGGAAGGCAAGGACAGCCGCCTCAGTGCTGAGGAGTGGTGAGGAGTGGTGACATTTGAACTCTGGTGGCAGCATCCCTGCCCCTGGGCTGGGGTTACACAGGGGCCCAGCATCCCTCTTGGGGGCAGAACAGAGCTGAGCTGGTGGGTAAGTGGTGGCTGGGTTTCTGCTGTGTGAAGTGGAAGAGGGCCATCAGGCATTGGCAAGGAAGGTGCTTAGGGAGACATTGGCACTGGAGATAAAAATGTGGGAGTCAGCAGAGCTTGGGGGACATTGAAAACTGGTGATGGGTAGGTCACACCAGAGAGAAGTTCAGGGGGAGTCCTGGTGGCACTCCTGCGAGATTAGGAAGAGCCACCCAAAGGGACAGAGAAGACCTCCAGGTCAGAGCAGAACCCAGGCATGACAGATGAGCTCAAATTTTGAGTCAGGCAGGTTGGTCGTCCCTGGGGTGGTGGCAAGAGTGGTTTCAGGTGGGCAGTGAGGAAAAAGGCTATGGAGTGGGCAGAGAAGAGGAGGCAGCAAGGAAGGGCGGAGTCTAGGAGAGGCCTGTTGTACAGAGCTGCGTAAGGTTAGACCAGGGGTGCAGAGGAAACTGGAGGGGCAGAAGGGGGTCCAGGGACCGTATGTGGATGCTAAAGAGAATGACCCAGCAGAGGATTATGGTGGAGAGGGGGGGCAATGGCCTTGAGGAGGGGAGGCTGGTCTTAAGTCACCTGTCATTCAGAATGGAGGGCAGAGAAGGAGTGCCACTTTGATTAGCCACAGGATTCGGGCATGGAGGACAGAGGCTGTTCCCCCAAACAGCCATTCAGGAGTTGGTGCCAGGCCCTACCTGTCAGGGCCTGTGGGCAGGGAGGTGGTTCCTGGGGACTCAGCCTCCAGAGGGTTCAGGTTGGGAGGTGGGAAGGCTGGAGGAGGGCCACTGCTCATGGGCCTGGCCCTGGGAGGGAGGTAGCAGGGTGGGAAGCCTGCCCACTCCATGTCTGCTGCTGTAGGTGATGCGGTATGAGAGCGTGAGCATCAAGGAGAGTGCTGGCTTGGACCCTGCTGCCCTGAGCCCCGCTTACCCCCGGGAAAAGTGGCTTCGCAAGAGGACCCAGGTGAAGCTGCGGGTACGTGCAGGCTCAGCTGCATATGGGCTTGCCTTAGTGAGGTGGAGTTGCCCTGGGGTTGGCGTAGTCAGGAAGTTTATACAAGGAGCGTTGGCAACCGTTAGCACCCACGGGGCTGGGACTCTTGCTGAGACAAACCCCGGCCGCAGGAGCAATTGCTACGTGTCAGGCTTCTGAAGATACGGCACCAGAGTCCTGCCCGTGGCCGCAGGGCTCTTTAACTTAACATTGAATATGGCCTGTGTGATATTTGCTGTAACGGAGGGAGGCACAGACTCAGATGGAGATGGAAAGGATTGTCAGGGCAGGTCATACAGGATTTCTCTGGAGAAGGAACTCTGTAGTACCCTACAGATGAGTAGGAGTTTGGGATGCATACATCTAATTATTCACTAGGCAAACTGTCACCAGTGCCTACTCTCAGTCCCTCTGCTAGGACTTTTTGCAGCCTGAGACTGTGTACAGACATAGCTACTACTGTGGAAGATCAGACATAAATCCTAAAAACAGTCATAAAAGGTAGAGGCTGACCAATGCTTCATGAATCAACTCTTTTTTTTTTGTAAACATATTTATTGAGATATAATTCACAGATGTGTGCAACTATCACCATGGTCAATTTTAAGGACATTTTTGTCACCTTAGAAAAGAAGCCCCTTCAGCTGTTTTCCCTTGTCCCTAGTCCTTTCCCCTCCCTAAGCAATTAGTACTTTACTCTCTGTCTCTGTAGATTTGCCTATTCTGCACATTTCATTTAACTGCAACCCCATAACATGTGGTCTTTTGCGACTGGCTTCTGTCACTTTGCACAGTGTTCTCAAGGTTCATCAATGCCACGGCATGTTTCAGAATGTCATTCCTTTTCATGGCTGAGTAACATTCCATCGCATTCTGTATTTTGTGTATTTATCAGTTGATGGACATTTAGCTGTGATGAATAATGCTGCTCCAAATCTTCCAGCACACATTTTGTGTGCACATATACTGTGTGCACTGTTTCTCTTGGGTACAGACCTAGGAGGGGAACTGCTGGATCAAATGGTGACTCTGTGCTTTATCATTTGAGGAACCGCCAACTGTTCTCCACAGCAGCTGCACCATTTCATGCTCCCTCCAGCAGGGCATGTGGGATCTGGTTTCTCCTCCTCCTCTCCAAAACCTGTCCGCGCCTGTCTGACTCCTGTCATTCCAGGAGTGAGACACTGTGCCTTCAGTTTGCATTTCCCTGATGACCAGTGAGGTTGAGCATCTTGTGTGCTCATTACACCAGTCCACCTTCCCTCTATGGTGCTCCTGTCTCCCTCTTGGCTGGACATCTGATGGGCAGGGCCCATGAACAGTTCCTCCTAGGGACTGGTGCAGACTAGTCCTGCAGATGTTTTTGAAGTGGGCTAAAAGGCCATGGGAGTTGAGAGGAGGAAGAGACCATACCTTTGGGGAGTCCAAAGAGTGTGTCTTCAGGGTGGAGATGGAGTTGAGTCTGGACTGAGGGGGTGGGCTAGAGTGTGGAAGCAGAGGTCCGAGGCCCCCACAGAAGAGCAGCACAGGGGAGCAGTGTGCAGAAGTGGTTTGGACAAGGCCTGGAATACTGAGCTCAAGGTCTGGCCTTCATCTGAGGATGTTGGGGGTCTGGCCCTATAAAGGCAGAGGATCTGGGGCTAGGGGCAGTTTTTGAATAAGGAGTTCCATTAGGAAGCTCCTAGCAGACTCCAGGCAAGAGGTAATGTGAGTGTGGTGGAGATACCAATGTGGCCAGACTATAAAGGAGTCACTGGGTCCAGGGATGTGGGTCTCACAGGGCAGCCTGGGAGTGGTGGGGAGTCAAGGCCAACACAGGACTTTTTGATGATGAAGGCCAGAGGAAAGGAGGATGGGAATTAGCTGGACAGACACAGATGAAATGATGTGGTGTCAGAACCTGCTCTGGAGTAACCTGTGCTGGTCTGTTCTGGCCTGCACTGTGCTGGGCTGTGCTGGGCTGGGCTGGGGAGGAGGTGACCAGAATGGCCTAAGTGTTGGAGCTGCTACCAGGCTCCCAAGCTCTTCTGTATTATTTTCTCTGTTATTGTACATTTGAAATTTTCCACTAAAAAGCCAGATGGTAAACAGCTATTGCATGTGAGCTGTGATACAGAGAGATGACTAAAGGTGACTGGGAGTCTCCAGCCTAGGAATCTAGACGTGGACAACAGGCCGTTGAGGATTGGTTGCCACCTTGGGGGTATACTATCAAAAGTGTGGGAGGCCCAGGGTCAACAATTTTGTTGACTCAGTCTGTTTTTCTCATGGCTTCTGTGGGAACCCATCTCTGAAACCCTAACAGAAGTTAGTAGGAGACATGACTCAGTAGTCCACATCTCTCCAGCCACCCTGAGAGTACTTTCATGACGAAGCAGGGTCAAGCCTTACTCACAAAGGCCACACTGGTTTCTTTCTGTCCTTCCAGAATGTCACTGCTAATCACCGGGCCAATGATGTGATTGCTGCCGAAGATGGCCCCCAGGTCCTGGTGGGGCGGTTTATGTATGGGCCTCTTGACATGGTGGCTCTGACTGGAGAGAAGGTACTGAGGGCTAGCATCCCCTTCTCAGTAGGCCATATGCACCGTGTGCCTCACCGTATCACAGGGTGTGAGGGGTGAGGGTCTCAGGAGACTGAGCTGTCCATGGTGAGAGGATGGAGCAGGGAACAATCCCCTTGCTCAGGCAGATGGGCTGGAGGTGAGCAAGGGTGAGGAGGAAAGAGAAACCACTGTGGCTTGAGGGAAGGGATGACGGGATCCTGAGTCCTAGCTCCCCAGCCTAGACCCTCTGTTGAACCTGCAGCCTCTCAGCCTTGAGAGTCCACTGTCCTGTTCACTGCCTGCAGGTGGACATCCTGGTGATGGCAGAGCCGTCCTCGGGCCGCTGGGTTCACCTGGACACAGAGATTACCAATAATAGTGGCCGTGTCACATACAATGTACCCCGGCCCCGGCGTTTGGGTGTTGGTGTCTATCCTGTGAAGATGGTTGTCAGGTAGGACCTAGGGAACATCCTCATTGCAGCTTCTCCCATCTCTGTGGCCCTCGAGCAGAAGACAGGTCCCATCTCTGTGTGCATGGAGAGAGGAAATGGGAAGAGGCTACCAGACCCTGGCACCAGACTGACCGCAGGCCGCTACCTTTCAGGGGCGACCAGAGCTGTGCGATGAGTTACCTCACGGTGCTGCCTCGGGGCATGGAGTGTGTTGTGTTCAGCATTGACGGGTCCTTCGCAGCCAGCGTGTCTATCATGGGAAGCGACCCCAAGGTCCGGCCAGGCGCAGTGGATGTTGTCCGGTGAGTGCTGCCTCCCCTGAGGGAGAAGTCTGCCCTGGGGATGCATTGATTTCCTGCTTTTCTCTGGATTTCCATGCGTCTCTGGGCTGGGAAGTCCTGGTTTCACCTCCATTAGAAATCCACTGAGGGTCCTTGGGAAAGTCCCTCCCCATTGTCAACCTTCCCTTGTTCATTTGTCCCTCCTTCCCTTCCTCCCCAAGATGTGGGGGACTGGGAGATCGTGGGGGCAATGATGGCTTTGGAAGAGGAGACCGGTCTGGCTCAAGGGCTTCCCAGGGACTGCTGACCTCCAGCTACCTGCTGGCTTTGTGGGAACTGGCCTGGGACAGTCCCACAGCAGGAAAGTGGGGCTATGGTCTTTTCCCTCTGCAACTTCCTGGTGCCCCAGGCTCCTCCACACCTTGTAGTAAAAGATGCTTTATGTCAGTGCAGATCCCATGGCCCCATTTAGAACTCCCCAGCATCCAGTGGGTGTTACCATCCCTGTGCTTCTTTACAGAACCCACCCCCCAATCTCCCAGATACCAATCTATGGTAGCCAGGTGGTGGCTTATCCCACAATAGTACCCAGACAGGTCTGGGCTCATCTGGCATCTTGTTGTCAAGAGAGAGCACAGAGCAAAGAGGCCCATTCCACTGGGAAGCAGGAAGACTTCCTGGAGGAGGGGCCTTGAAGGAGCGAGCACAGGAGATGGAGCTGTGAAGAAAGTCTAGGGGAGAGGTTTTCAGTGCAGAGCACAGGGCTCATCCAGAGGCAGCAAAACAGTCCCGTGCCTTTGAGGAGAAGGGACTTGCAAGGCAAAACCAGGAGCAGGTCACAAGTGCAGTGAGACCTAGAGGTTATCTCAGGCCACTAAGGAGTCAGGTGTGCTTTTAGGCAAAGGAGTAATGGAATTGGATTATGATTTATGTAAATCACATGTGAACGCATGAGGATAATACAGTCAGTTGTGTGGGGTACCCCATGCCAGGCATATATTAATTCCTTTCATCCTTGGAATAACCCCATAGAGTTATTCCCACTTTATAGATGGGGAAACTGGAATCTTGGGAGTGTGTGTGTGAGTGATCTGCCCAAGGTGGCATAGACCCAGGTCAGATTGGAATGGGGGACTGGAGGGACAGAGGCCACCACCGGCTTTTGTAGTGGCCCAGGAGAGAGGTGGGGTCAGAGCTAAGGATGAGAAATGAAAGCCTTGCTCACTGGAGGAGGAGGGAGGGCAGGCAGAGGGAAAGGGAAGGAATTAAAGGCAGCCTTTCTGCTCCAGAGAGAGGGCAGGAGTGGGGAGAGCAGGTTGGTAGTGGAGAGGCAGTGCTCGCAGATCATCCAGAGGTGTCCTGGACTCACAAGGCTCAACCTGGAGTGTGGATTTGGGGGTCCTCCCTGTTCTTCCTAGTGCTCCTTAGAGCACTTCCGGGGCTGCAGTGGGCTGGGCAGACCACTGGGCAGCGGGTAGCCTGCATGGGCTGCACTGGACCCTACAATGCCATCCCGCCAGGCACTGGCAGGACCTGGGCTACATGATCCTTTACATCACGGGGAGGCCGGACATGCAGAAGCAGCGGGTGGTGTCGTGGCTGTCCCAGCACAACTTCCCACAGGGCATGATCTTCTTCTCGGACGGGCTGGTACACGACCCGCTGCGGCAGAAGGCCATCTTCCTCCGTAACCTCATGCAGGAGGTGAGTGGGGCCAAGGTGGGCGTGGCCTCGGCTACACCCACGCGAAGGCGGGGCCTCGGCGTCAGGCCCTCACTGGGGAGGGGAGGGATTAGACCACGCCCCTCCTTCATGCTCCTCCACTGGGTGGGGATACACCTCCGTAGTTCCTTGTTGGTGCAAGGGGATGCTCGGTTTGCAGAGCACACCCGCGTGCATCTCATTGGATGTAGGTGTTAGCTTCTTCGACGGATGTTCATCCTTTATCATCTCCTGACTCTAAAAGCCTTGTCTCCACATTTAAGTACCTATTGCGTAAAACAGTACACCGCCCCCCCCACCCCCGCCACCCACACACCAATTTACCCACCCAGAACTGTGGTACTCATTGTGAGAGCCTGAGACAGGCATCTTTGTCCGCACCTGCGGAGGCGGCCAAGCAAACTTTCCACAAGCCCTCCAGAGGGGGAATTCTGATCCATAGGAGAATTTTGAGAATCACAGATCTAGGGCAGGAGTTAGCCAATGAAAATTACATGAATTCAAACTTCAGTGTCCCTAAATAAAGTTTTATTGGAACACAGCCAAACTAATTTGTTTACATATTATCTGTGGTTGCTTTTGCATTACAATGGAAGAATTGAGTAGCTGTGACAGTGCAAAGCCTAAAATATTTACTATCTGGCTTTTCACAGAAAAAGTCTGCCAATCCCTGATTTAGAGAAAGAAAGACTTGTAAATTGACAATTACTGGTGTGTGGCTGAAAGAAGGGGCTATTGACAAACAGAGGAGAAAGGACTTGCATTGCCAGGGGAGGCCCCAGAGGGCTTCTAGTAGTGGTAACCTTTGAGTATCCTTTTGAAGCATGAGTATGGGTTGTCAGGTAGACAATGAAACAGCACGGGGCCAACCTAGAGATATATCAAAAGATTAAAATAGAAATAAAACCAAGCTTTACTTGGGAATAGTATGGTAGTAGGAATAGCAGAGCATTAGTGGGAATGCATGTAGGTGGGTCTGAGGAGGTGGAAGGGGAAGTTTTTAAAGGTCAAAAGGAGGAGGATCATACTAGCTATCTTGAGAGGATTAGTAGCAAGATGGCACCAGTCTGAGGTTGAACATACAATTGCTGGGCAGATGTCCTCCAAGAAGTACTGTTTGTAGGAGATTGCTGTGGCCCTGCTGCAAAATTGTGGTTCTGGCAGTCTTGTGTGGTAGTTACTATCAGGCAATCACGAGTGAGAACTCTTCCTTCACAATCTCCAAGTTTTGTTTATTTTTTGTTAGGATTGACACAAGCAATTCCATTTTGATTTGACAACTTTTGTGGTGTGCAAAGGCACAGAGGTGAGAAAGAGCCTGGGCATCCAGGCTCCAGAGCTGCAGGCATCCAGGATGGTATATGTGCAGGCAGGGTCAGCCTCATGGCAAGTGGGAGCTGAAAGCTTGGCAGGCCTTGAAGACTTTGGGAAACAGGCCAAGACCATGGATTCTCTGTTGACAGCAATGGGAGGGATGGGAGAGACTAAAGCAAGGCAGTGTCTAATTTGAGTTGTAGAAAGATCTCTCTGGTGGCTTTGTGGAGAGCAGAATGGAAGAAGGACAGGCAGGGAGACCAGTCAGAATGCTGTTGCCCAAGCAAAAGACAGAAAGACTGAAACCCAGGTATTGACCATGGGATGGGAGAAAGGCCTGGGCAGCATGAGAATCGGGAGGTAGAGTTGTCCAGACTTGGTGGTGGTTTGATGTAGGGGGTGAGGGACTCTCAGATGTCCTATTGGAACAGGAGGGATCCCCAGGAGGGATTCAGGTGCTATTCTGACCATGGCCTCCATGGCAAAGTCCAGGATTTGGGGCAACCATAGCCTGCAGTAGGCACTTTCCAAATGCTAATAGAATGAATACATGAGTGAGTGAATGAAATGAGAGAGGACCTAGGAGGAGGACCAGACAGGGGTTTGCTCAATTGTGAACACTCGGAGGCTGATACGGCCACATCAGCCCCAGCACATGGGTTGGGGCAGTGGCTTTGGCTGGGTAGAGATTGGAGCCATCACTGGAGGCAGGTCAGTAAGGGGAAGCATCCCCTGGGAAAGGCAGGAGCCAGGAGAAGCTGCTCTGGGCCTCTGAGATGAGTGAGAGAAGCCAAGTGAGGAGCCAGGAGGAGAGTCAGAGGAGGACAAGGGCTAGGAGAGAGAGGCTTCAGGTGTCAGGGGACTGAGGGTTCCAAGTAGACAATCCCCTTCTTATGAAGAGCTGTGGGCCAGTAAGAAGGGTTCACTAGATGAAGACTGGATGCTTCATGACCTCTGTGAGGAAGGGACACCTCTGAGGGCCAAGGGGACAGAATCAGGGTGAGGAGTGAAGGAGGATCTCAGCTTAGAGTGGACATGCAGGTGGGATGGAGGGTTGAAGTTACAGGAGTGAGCTCAGGTGAATGAAGAGGTGGGAAGGGAGGGGGAAACGGGCTGCTCCTTCTTTGGAGCTCAAGGGCAGCTGGGAATAAACCAACTGACAAGTCAAGTTGCTGTGGGCTGGGGGAGCCTGCTCTTTGGTTCAACATCAAAGGCAGCATCTTTGATGTTGACTTGGGAGAGACACAAAGAATAAGTAGAGTGGGATCTACATGGTTCTGTGAGTTTCTCTAGCAGCTCTTGGTAGTCAGCATATAGAAATGGAGAAGGAACATGGTAGAAAAATTCTGGGCTGAGATTTGGCCAGGAGTGTGTGGGAGGAGGATGAAGGGGCAAGAGGTCAGACATCACCGAGATACCATGGGTACCCAGGCAGGATGGGGCAGGTGTGGATGAGGCTGAAGAGCAGCTGGGGTGATGGCCATAAGAGATATGGGGGGAAAGAAGCAGTGATGAGGATGGGAATGCAGCTCAGAGCTCAGATCATGCTGGTTGTGGACTGAGACTCTGACTCAATGGGCACAGTGAGTTATTAAGGAAAGCTGAGAGGCAGCGATGGTATACTAGTGGTAGGCTTCCACGTGAACGGTAAGGCATCCTAGCAGTAGGTGTTTAGAAGGAAGGAAAGCCATGACCCAGGACCAAAGTCTCTGTGATTGTTGGAGGACATGGGTGCAGAGGCATAGCGAGGGGCTGCTGGATGGTGAGCCCCTCAACAGGGGGAGGGCTAGTTTTATCCAGCGGGATGGGCAGAAGGATGGGGTGATGTTCTCAAAGTGTCTCTGGATCAAGATGGGTGTTGGCCAATTCTCTAAACTGGGTGGGGGCTTCTGGGGAGGACATCTGCCAGCCAGAGGCAGCGGATGCATGGATCCCAGATCTGGCCTCTTGCTCTGCCCTGTGATACGTAAACTCTGGAACAGAGTTTCCTTATCCACAAAGGGACATTTGGCTCCATTGTTACATGAGCTCTGTGTAATGCTGCCTGAGGTGGGTCATTAAATAATGTGGTCAGTACTGCGGCCTATATGAGACCTGGGGTATGGGGCGGGGACAGGGAGGGGCAGCCTCTCTGGGGACTCTTGCCTTGGAGTCTGAGTGCAGATACAGTGTCCTTAAACAGGGGCTCCCTGGAAGCCTTCCCACCCAGGGAGGCTGGGCCTCCCTCTTCCTCCATGAGTTGCTCTGTGTTTCAGTGCTTCATTAAAATCAGTGCTGCCTATGGCTCCACGAAGGACGTCTCTGTCTACAGTGTTCTGGGACTGCCAGCCTCCCAGATCTTCATTGTGGGCCGGCCCACCAAGAAGTACCAAACCCAGTGCCAGGTGAGTGAAGGCCCGACTGGGGGCTGAGGGAATAGGGGCCAGGGAAGGAGCCAGGTGGGAGAGTAGGCAGTTGGTTTTTTCATTCAACCAACTACTTGCTCCTTTCTTCTTTCAATTTATTCAGCAAACACTATTGAGAAACTGTCTTGGACTGGGCCAAGGCAGGAAAGAATCCCCAGTGAAGTGTAGTGGGAGAGATGGGAGAATTCGTAGACAATGACAGTAGAATGTGGCAAGTGCCATGATGTATGACAGAGAGCACAGAAAATTCTAGAGAGGAGCAGCTAACCCAGGCTTCTGGAAGCTTGAAGGAATTGTCCAGGAAGGTCCTGAGATGGAGAGCAGCATTTATTTGTGGCACAGGCAGCAGTGGAAATCAAGGTCAGAGGTGACAGAGAACATCACCCCAAGCAGTGACTCAGCATGGGGTAGGCATGGAGAGGACAGAGGGTTGCAGTGGTCCATGCATACAAGCTGGCCCATGTGCCTTGCTCATTTTGGACTTTGTCCTTTAAATCGGTGGAGTAAGGTCTGCTTGTGGTCCAGAAAGATCCTTCAGGCTGTTTGCAGCCTGAAGGTGGGTGGGGGAAAGCAAGGAAGTTGGAGAGGGTGGAGGGTTTAAGAGGTAGGGGCTGGATTGGATTTGGTAATGAATGGATCAATGTGGAAAGAAATGGAAAGCCAAGGTTGGGGCCTGGTGTCTGCCTTGGGTGACCAGGCAGAGGATAGATACTACTATTGGGACTGAGAAGCAGGTTGGAGGGAAAGTATGTCAAGTGGGAGGGGCCTTAGAGTGACCAGCAGCTGGGGAGCCAGAAGATGGTGTCTCCTCACGTGGGTGGGGGATGGAGAACCCTACTTCTCAAATTAACTTGCTTCCCAGGGATCACCTGGGAATCTCACTTACAAGGTGATTCTGAGGTGGGCCTGGGGCGGGGATGGGGTGGGATGGCCTGAGATTCTGCCCAAAGAGCGTCTAGGTGATGCTGGTATAAACCACACTTCGAGCAGCAAGGTTCTGAGGACACAGTGGGAAGGAGTGGCAAGAAGGGCAGTTGTGAGAGGCAGCAAGTAACAGTTACGTGGGTTAGAGCTGCACGCTGAGGGGGTTTCCATTTTGGGATTTTAGTGAGGGTGACAAGGATGGGCGGGCCGTTCACTAGGGTGAAGAATCTAGAGGAAAGGCAGGCTGGGGAGTAGCCCAGTGGTGAGCGCTTGCCTCACAATCCTAAGGTCCTGGGGTTCCCTCGAACACCAGGAGAAAAAAAATCCAGAGTACTCTGGTGTGACCCACATACAGACAGAGGGACCCTGGAATCGTAATGAGCACCCTACTTCGGTTTCCCGGCAGATTCCCTAACAGGGTGTTTCAGGGAAATGGCGATGCTGGGGGACAGCATCGGGCGCTGGCCTGACGCCTGTCCCCTCCGCAGTTCCTGAATGAAGGCTACGCCGCACACCTGGCGGCGCTGGAGGCCAGCCACCGCTCGCGCCCCAAGAAGAACAACTCGCGCATGATCCTGCGCAAGGGCAGCTTCGGGCTGCACGCCCAGCCGGAGTTCCTGCGCAAGCGCAACCACCTGCGCAGGACCATGTCGGTGCAGCAGCCCGACCCGCCCGCCGCCAACCCCAAACCCGAGCGCGCGCAGAGCCAGCCCGAATCTGACAAGGACCACGAGCGGCCGCTGCCCGCTCTCAGCTGGGCTCGTGGGCCTCCCAAGTTCGAATCGGTGCCCTGAGCGGGAGGGGGCGGGTGGTGCTCAGAGCAGGGGGCCAGCCAGGCTGCCTGCAGAGACGGGAGGGCTGCCTTCTCCCTGACACAGGCGTTTTCCTGCTTTTCCCCTCCCGTGTCTGTCCAGCAGTGTCCGATCACAGTGGGGAGGGGAGGGAACCCTCCCTGGGCTGCGACAGGGTGAAATCCGGGAGTCTCAGTGCAGCCCCTGCTGTCTCCTCGCCCTGCGGGCGAGCCCATGTCAGGGCTCAGAGTGGTGTTTGCTTGATCCCGAGGGCAGGCCTGTGCCAGCCGGACTGTTGAGCAAGCCTAGGGCCTCCGCAGCCGTGCTAGACAGGCTCCAAGCGGAGAAGTCACCAGCCCCGGTCCGCCAGCAACTGGCCGTGTTGGAAGAGTGAGCGGCATTTGTGCCCACCCTTCCTGTGATATCCTGGGTCATCACTTTGGGGCTGGCTCTGTTCATGGCCAAGTGGTCACTTTCGGGGAGAGAGAGGACGTCCTCTGGGTTCATCCTCATGTATTTGGTGTCTGTCCACAGCCCTGGGGACGGGTCTGGTGCTGACGGTCTGTCCTGCAGCTGTCTTTTGTTCCCCACTTTTGTCCTCAGTATTCTCAACATTCTCCCATGACCCGTGAGGACACGTGTTGCTCTTCTGGGAGCCCAGCCTTGTGAGGCTACAGCCTCTGGCCCAGTTGGTCTGGCTGTGTACTCTTGAGCCTGTTTCGTACTCTCTCTGGGCCCTGTCTTCCTTCTGTTATCGGAGGGTCTCCCTAGCTGAGGTGGGTAATAAGAGTTTTTGACTCCTAGGCTGCTCTTTCCACCCTCAGAGGCCCAGTGATCCACACCTTTACCCAGCCTGGGCAAGGGTTTCTGAGAGGGCCGGGAGGGAGGAGTGCCTGACCCAGCACCTCAGAGAAAGCCCCTATTCCCAGCAGGTTTACCTGGCTCTGATGCCCAAACTGGGTGTCCTAGGGACAGAAACAGCCCCCTCCCAGACACCAAGGGTACTGGCCTGGCTCCCCCTGCCCAGCTCTGCTCAGACTCATCTCTTCCTTTGGGTTCCTGGAAGGCATAGAACTGAGATCCCAGGCTTCTGGGAGTTCCTGGAATTTTGGCTCAAGCTGTGTATTCTGTTCCCTTCTGTCTGTCACTCAGCTTGGTCTGGGTAGTCCCCTGAGGGTGGCTGGGCTTGGTTCTCTTGGGGCCCCAGGTCCTCCTGCTGCTGAGCCCCTGGGCATAGGTCTTCTGTACTTGCTCCAGCTCCCATGCCTGGTTGCTTCTGAGACCTCCAGCAGCTGCCACTGAGGCTGGGCTCAGTTCCATCAGTCAGGCTGCTCCAGGGGCCAGACATCTGTGCACACGGCAGGCAGGCACCTATGTGAGCTCAGTATCGCTTCTGCTCAATGTCTACCTCTTGCAGCAACCATGGTGGCTGCTGGTGGGGGCCGCCGGCACTGTGTTGTGTTTTCCTGGCAAACTGGGTTCCTCGCTGGAACTGGAGGGGTCTGGGCTCCCAGATCCCCCCTGCTTTCTCCACTAGAAGTATCTTCTCCAATTTGCCAGCTCCTGCCACCTTCGCCTGACTTGCCTGCCAGCTCTTCTCCACTTTCAGCACTGCATCCAGTATTGAGCCAGGTGCTGCTGGGGTTTGCAGGTGGCGTGGAAGCTTTAGCTTCCTCCAGTCCTGCCTCCTGGCCGTTCTCACCTGCCCATCCTCCCTTCAACATGTCATTGTTCTTGGCTCTCTGTTGGCACCAGCCCATATAGCATAGCCACCACAATCCTAATTCTTTCCACTCATTTCCCAAAGTACTGTGATTTGAACTTAAGCAGACTTGGTCTGATTCTGACAGCCCATTATCTCCTTTCCACAGAAGCCACTGAGAAATTATTTCAAATGATAAATGATTAACATGAGACACTTTCCCCCAATTTGATTCCCCCCTTCCCTTTCTGATAAACTTGGGCTGGGGAAGGGAGAATGCACACCCGGGATTCCCAAGGAGTTCCCAGTTGGTGATCAGGACTCTGTGGCTCTGAGGATCAGGGCTGAGACACAGGACCCAGCAGGAGGGCCCCATCCCTTCCTTTGCTGAAGCCCTGGATTGGGATTTGAGGACTTCCTCATGAGACACTGATGGTATACAGGGAAACCTTGTGACCACAATTCCCCTGGAGCTGTAGTTGGCATGTGTGAACATGTGTACTTGTGGTTCTGTTTGGTGAGGAGACAACTCATGTTTCAATACTGCTTTCTGTATCCCATGAGCAGTTTCTATGCTAGTGGTTTGTTCAATTTTGTCTGTCAAGTCAGAGACAAAAAGAACCCAAGTCCCATTGTTTTTGGAGCAGGTGCTGTTGCCTCTTCAGTAGTTCTGTGAGCCCCAATCCAGCTGTTTTCTAGAGAAGCTTCTAGCTACTGGTGTGCCTGCTCTCCAGCAGCTGGAAACAGATCTTCCTGCCTGACCAAAGCTCCCTGTTTCTTGCGTGGCATGTTTGTTCTTCTCCATGTGGTGGCTGTCCTGGCAAGGGATGCCTGCCGCCTTCCTCTGTCACTTGCCCTGTTGGGGGTTCAGGGTACATTCTTTGCTGGGGCCTGCTCTTCTAGCATCATGGTCCCTCCCAACCCCACCAAAGACCCGACTCCTTAAGCACCACAGAATATTATAAAAAAGAAAGATACACGCATTTGGATGAACAGCTTCCCTGTCTGGGTGCTGGGTTGCGACTAATGTGTCTGAATCCCAGCATTCCCAAGATTACTGGGGATGGTTTTCTGAAAGAGAGGAGACTGGATCTTGCTTTTAAACTGTACTTTCTTCACTTTGAGCCCATAGCTGTGCTCTGGAGGTGTCCTGCAAACAAAACATGGCACCCATCTTCAAATGAAGCCAGACCCCACCCAGGCAGGTGGACCAGGGTCAGGAGGTAGTTCCAGTTTTGCACCCACTCCCCCACCCAGCTCAGGTACACCTGGGAGGGAGCCTCGCATTGACCCCACCCTAAACCACCATTTTCCAGCCTGATCCCAGGGGACTGGGTGCCAAGTGCTCTGGAAACTTATTGTCTATGGCTCAGCCAAAAAAAAAAATCCCTCCTTCCCTTCCTTCGGGGCTAGAGGGAACTTTCTTAAGCACCCAAATTAGGGTTAAGTTTAAGCAGTCAGGCCAGGCTGGACTCTGCTGTCCTTGCTGAGAAACCAATAGGACAGTTGGGAGAAAATTGGTTTGACTCTATCCTCTTTGGGACAAGAGAGGCAGGTGACACCAAGGAGGGGCAGGCCAGAGGAGGGCGGCTCATGCATAGGGACCCCCTCCCTCGAACCTTGCTATCCTTTTCTATTTGTTTACTCAGTGGTGGCCACCAGTCTGACCCTGTCTGTGGTTTGACAGTCCCTGTGTAACTTCCAGTATTCTCTGTGATGGATGGTTCTGTGGTGGAAATGGTTTATTATATTCCTTATGGCTGCCTTGTACAAAATCCGTTAGAAAAAAAAATGTAAAATATCAGATTTCTAACAAGACAAAAACAGCATTATGGAGTTAAAGGATTTTTACAATTGGTCTTGATTTTGATGTGAGCTGGTTTTTAACTCTCAAATGTCACTTAAATAAAAACCTTATTTGCCTTTAAAATGTGCTTTGCTCTGGACTGAATTGAGAAAGCTTTCCCATTACTCTTGTTCTTAGGAATGGGGGTGGGGGGAGGCAGGCTGGGAGCAGCAGAGATGAGGGGGACAAAGCTGGACCCCAAACCTGTGGCGCAAAGCAATGTCAGAGTCGGGGAGAGCGGCAAAAGGAAAAATGTCAAAAGTGGAAAGTGAGTCTTTATTATGAAAAAGCAATGTGATCTAGGAAGCTGACACACTGGTTTCTTTCTAATAAAATGACAAAGCAGATTTCTTAAATAATTTATGAAGAGCAAAATCTGCTCTTGAACAATGCGCCCCCTCCCTGAACACCCACAGTGTGGCGTGCTAAGCTTATAAATAGGCACCATGAGCCTGGCTTGTAGAGCCTGGCACTATCTCTTTCCCTTCCTCCAGGGCCCTGGTGGAGGAAGTGGGGGTGGAATTGGGTCCCCAAGAACCTCTGCACTGAAAATACCGGGGGTGAATGTGTGGATACGTCCTCCAGGACCCTGCTCCTGTGACAAGGCTCAGAGCTCACCAGCATGTTAATGTACCTTCTCTCTGTGGATGAGGCAACCACAAGGCTCACAGGTGGGATGAGTTCTAAGCCCAACGGTCCTCTGGGGGAGCAGGAGCAACTCTCCACACCTCTCCAAGGCCTCCCCAAGTCATTCCCAGGCTGTGACAGGGCCATTGCTGGGCCCAGGCATAGCTGAGGCAGAAGTGTGCTGGGTTAGTCAGGTCCTTGTTAGCACTGGCCCAGGGGTGTTGATAACTGGCGTTTCCTCCTGGAATCTCCAGGAAGGTGGCAGATATCCTGGTGTGAGGGCTTGGTGGCCAGGCAGGGCTCATTTCCTGTAAGACAGAACTCCACTGTGCCCCTCACTGTGCTCCAGAGAGGGGATGTGACACCATAACATCCACTCTGAACGTGGGGCTGGAGGGTGGCTCTTGGTTCTTGGGAACCCCAGCATGCTCTGTGAGTGTCGGAGTCAGTGGAGTTAGCAGCTTTGGGTCCACTTCCTACTCTGTGATGCTCGTCTGTCTTGTGAATTTTCCCAAAACCCACCTATTTCTTTATCGTGCCTACAATTATGCGCACACACTCATGCACAAGAGGAGGAAGAGGACAGAGACAGGTGGTTGGGAGGAGGGCATTACCTGCAGGGCACTGTCCTCAGTCATGAATGAGGGGGACGGCCATGTTACCACTAGGGATGGAGAAGGGGGTAGGGGGATTGAGGCCACTGAGTGCTGCATGCTCTGAGGGGCCTCCCAATCTGGATCAGACAAGACCAGAATTTGAAGGCAGTGTGGGAACATGGGCATTGGATGTGTATATAGTCAGGGCTGGTAGGGCTCTGCCTAAGGGCCTACTGTGACCATTATATAAATGGAGAACTAAACATCCCAAGTTAGGTCAGATCTGGAAGTGAGACTCTGACTCCTGAGCAGACCTGGACTCTGAATTCCACGGGTCTGCAGGGCATAGAGGAGCTATGGAGGGTATTGGAGGAAGGGTAGGAACCAGATACCCAGCCACACATGAGATCAAGGTAATGGACAAAGATGTGAGTCCAAGGCCTTTTACCATCACTTCAGTCAAGGTCTTTCATCCCTTCTCATGTTTGCAATGAGGAGACTGAGGGACAGAAAGGGGCAGGGACTTGCCAGAATCGCACAGCAGTTCCGAGCCAGAATCAATATCCTCTCTACAAAGATGGCATGGCTCAAGGACCCTTCTGGCCATTTCACCATGAAGTCTGGGATGCCAACTCACCTCTCTGTAGCCATGATGGCCTCATCCAGCTTTTGGGACAGCTTCTGGAGATGTTGGATTCCTGCACCCACAGGCTCCAGGTCACTGTCAGACTCACTGAGTACAAGGAAAAGCCACACCAGGGTCTAGCTGGAAACCCGAGGCAGGAGCTCTCCCAAACCACTGGGGGCCTGCTCTGCAGGCCTAGATGATGCTGGTGGGCTGCAAAAGACTTACCAGCACTTTACTCAGAAATGCTATCAAGGGCCATGAGACTAAGCCCATGGCAGTCGATTTGCAGGCAAGCAAACCCTGCCATCCCCCCATTTGGAATCACAGCCTCAGTGCTACCAGGCTTGGGTACATGGGACCCAATCAGAGCTAAGCTCAGTTCTTCCTTTTACAGATAGGGAAGCTGAGGTCCTGAAGGATTTTCTCAGGTCCCCCACTAGCTCTGGTGGCAGAGCTGGGCCACAGCACAGATATGATGGCTCAAGGTGTCCCAGCTCCAGGTGCTGAGAGGCTCCTGGGTCCCTGTTAGTGTGGGGGGTCAAGGGGAAGCACACTCTACTTGCCTGGGAGAGCAGAGAGGTTCCGTCGAGGAGTAGGGGCTTCGGAAGGCAGCCTCCCTCCTCAGCCACCGTCGCTGGTGTGCTCGTGTGCCCACCTGGGCAGAGGGGTGGCGGTGCTCCCTCTCCCGAGGGTCCCAGGCAGCCCCAGACAGCCTGGTGTTCTTCTGGCTCAGGTTGGGGGGTGGGGAGGCTCTGCCCTTCTGCACCCCTCTCTTCCTCCTCCTGGCTGTCACCTGAGTCTCCATCAGCCACTTAGTGCCACTTTGGCAGGACTGCTGGATCTTCTGTAACAGGCACATGGAAAGGTTAGTGCAGACAGAACCAAAGGGAGCTATCTAGGCTCTAAATCTTCCCTCTAATCCAGGCCTACCAGCTGTCCCACAAACATCACCTGCTTAGTTGCAAGGGTGAGGGTCATGAGCTTGTGAGCTGTACTGCACCACAGGGACCTCACTCAGAGAATCCAGATAAAGCTGCAGCAGAAACACTTAGCTCACACAGCCTCCCTTGTCCAATCCAAACTCTCCTCCCAGGCAGGTTGACTCAGAGAATCAAGAGGTTTGATCATGACACCCAACTGCTCAAAATCCTTCTATGGCCCCTTGTTTCCTATAGCACCAAGCCCCAACAACGGACCTTTTATATGAGTTGGGTTGAAAGATTGTCTTTGCCTTGGCAAACCAGAGCCCAGAGGTTGCAGCAAGACCTAAGGACAGTTTGGTTATGTGGACTTGGACAGGATACCTCATTTCATTTCTCTAAGACATGAAATGCACCCAACATCATACCTTCCCGCAGGCACATCATCCTGACACCAAATCCCTCAAATCTACCTTCTGAGCAGCTCTTGAAGTTATCCACACTTCTGCAGGACAGGACCCCAGGGATGCATCTGTTCCCCTTCCTTTCCCATTAAGTAGCTTATAAGCAGGTTCTACTATGCTAATCTGACCAGCTTTCCCATCCTGTTTAGAATTCTTCCCACTCCTGAATGCTCCTGGGAGAGTCTAAGCAACTCAGCATGCCCTCTCTTTTCTCCCACCCTTCTCTGTCCTCTGTCCACACCCAAACTAAGGTCCTGCCCCTTCTTTTCAGCACCCGGCTTCCTCTCAGTGCTAAAACTGGGTTCACATTCCTTCTGCTACTTACCACACCCCATACTCTTCCCCTTTCTTGAGTGAATGCAGAGGGAAGTTCTGGTTTCCTGAGAAGACTTCACTGGCTAGGCTTGGGTTTGCAATTTCCTATCACAATATAGAGCTCATCTCCTTGTATCATAAGCATCAGTTTTCTCTATGGCACTGTTTCATTCACTCATTCAACTATGTGTTGGGTGCTTATTATGTGGCGGTAACTATTTGGGGTGCTGGGGAACAGCAATGAACTAATTAAAGGCTAAGCCTTCATGGAGTTTATATTCTTGGGGGGTCCCTGAGGGCAAGAATTGTTAGCACGAAGGAGACCCTTAAATAAATGGTTAGTAGTCACTATTACCTGAGACATGGCGCCCAAGGCGTTCTTAGCTGAGCGAGCTGCAGCCTGGAGGCCCTGCTGCTCTGGCTCTGGGGTTGGGGTTTCCAGGCGTTTCCAGGAGGGGCCTGCCCCCAGGTTGAGGCTGACTGCTCTGAGGGGCAGCCTCCTTTGGAACTGTCTGCACAGGGAGCCCAGGGCTCCTGTGGTCGTCTCCAGATGGCAGGTAGCAGACTGCATCTCCTCCGAGGGCTCATCCTTTAGGATTGATCGCCGGCACGCTGAGGCCTTCATACCCTGCCACTGAGAGGTCATCTCTCTAGCCCAGTCTCCTCTGCCTGCTTAGACCCTGGGGAGGTCAAAAGGCAGGTCATCAACCCCATTCCTAGAGTCCACAGAGACCGAGGCACAGAGGTGAGATGGAATGGAGGCCCATGGGGGTGGGGTACTTGGACAACGATGGGTGCCAGAAGGCTACTTCCTGGAAGGATCAGGACGGCCAGTGGCATTCCGCTCTCTCAAGTTTCCAAAACCAGCTGTCTTCATCCCAGCCTCCTTTCTGGAATCTCGGACGCGAAGGGAGGCAGTTTCACCGAGCCTCAGCATTCGGTCCAGGACAGGGTCAGCGGTTCTTTCACAAATCGCCCTGGCCAAACGTGCTTCCGCCCAGACCCCGGCCGCCCCACTAGACCCTCGGATTCGATTGAACGCTTACAATACCCAGCCACCACCGCACACCGCGCCCGTCCTAACCAGAGCCCCATCTCACCTCCCCATCCCGAGCTGCCCCGAGGAGACCCCCACTTTGAACAGAAGCCCTCTAAGTCCCGGCCCAAGCTCACCCCGGAGTCCCTAAGGTGGGACCAGACGCTCAGCACAGCTGCTCCACGCCGACCCCAGCCGATTTGAAACTCCGCGCCGATCCCGCCTCGGCCTTGTGCTCATTGATGATTGGCTCCGTCCCCGCCGGCGCTGTAGCGCCGGGGATCTGATTGGCTCCTTTCTCTAGAGGCTGTGAATACTGCTCTGGGATTGGCTCGGTCGCTCCCATTCTCCGCTGGGACCCCCTGGGAGCTAGCTCCAGCTAGGCCGCCCGCGGAATCCCCGGCTGATCCTCCGCTCAGCCCCCGAGCCACTTCCCGGACACGCCCAGTCAGATCGCACGTCCAGTGCCTGCGCAGGATTAAGGATAGTCTGCACCACTGCCACGGCGGGGATCCCGGGCACTCAAGAGACTCAAGGGCTGGTGGCCTGGCCCTCCCGGCCCTTCAGCTGGCAGAAGCCCTGGTCTCTGCGGGACCCTCCCATCGTCCCAAGGGGCCTGTTTTTGTCAGAAAGAGGCATGGGCTGGAGGTACGGAGCCCAGGATTCCCATGGAGGTTTTGTCTCCAATTCCTCTCCTGATCTCCTTTCCTAAAACAAGGCACTGCTCCTCTCTGTATCCCCCAAACTCACCATCCACTCTACCCTCAAGAAAAGCGCATCTTGGAGCGGGGGACAAAGCAGAGCATACTTCCCTGTGCAACCCCTGCCCAGGCCAGCTCCTCAGCCCTGGAGGAGGCCTGCCCCACTCACCCTCTCCTCTTCCTCTCAGCATCCAAGCAAGCTTAAAAAAAAATCACCTCTGTAAAGCTCTCCCAACTCACCTACTCCTTTATATGACCTCAAAGCAGACTGCCTTTTCCCTTGCCCTCCCTTCCCCAGGTCTGGAAATGATGCTCTGGGGAGGCTCTGTCTCCAGCCCTCCTCTTCATGTCTGGATGGTCTCTCCCGCTCCTTTAACCATGATGATAATGATTGACTTGGATATGGCACTCCATGTCTCTCATTTGACCCTCATTGCAGCATGCAACTTGAGGAGGAAGCTGAGGGAGAGGAGGTCAGACTGGGTCCAAATGTCATTCAGTGACTATGGGGCAGGGCCAAGGACCAGGGTCCACGTGCCTAACCATCGTACTACACTTCCTGCCACATTACCATTGACAGCCTGGACCTCTCACCTGATGCCATCTCTCTAGTGCTGCAGGCTCATTAAACCAACTACTCCAGCTGAAGTCACCCTGGTCTCGCAGACCTCCTCCTCCCTCACCTGCCCTCTCTCAGGTCTTCCCAAATCTTATCATCCAGAGTCTGCGATTGATTAAGCATGACAGGCCACAAAGGTCAACCAAATGGATGCATTCCTTACCCTCACGGGGCTTACATTCAGTGTAGAGATGGATATCAATAGATAAAATAATCAATGTTAAGCTAATCAAAGAACCACATACAATTATGTTATTTAAAACTGAGAACTAGAGAATGAGCAAACCAGGCAGAGTATGTGTTTGTGTGTATTTGTGTGTCCGGCATGTTCTAGGTAACCAGTACTCGTGAGAAACCGAGAGCACATATATATGTGAGCTGAAACAAATCTTCATGAAATAATTCTTGGTTCTGAGTGATGTGCTCTGAGATTTTGTTTTCAAAAATGAGGTTCACATCTTCCAGCTTAATTTAATCCTGGTGCATATGGGTTTGAAAATCATTGCTCTAGTTTGCTTGTTAGCTGTGTCCCCTCCAGTGGGACTGTTTACCAGGAGTCAGAAATGTTTGTTCCCAAATCCATTTATGTCAGTTGAATTTGTGTAATCGGGGAATTGAATGCAGGAAAAGAGAGTTGTTTTCGTGAAATACAAGTTCAAAGTGTGGGAAAGACTCAGGGAAGGAGAGATGTTTAGAAACAAAATCTGTCAAGGTGGAATGTATTGTCATAGTTGTCTCTCCAGAGCCTCTGCCAACACCTGACACACCATAGGCATGCACGCTAATAGCTATATTTTTTGAACCCTTACCACAATGTCAAACACTGCTAAGTGCATTTACTTTCTTCTTCCGTAATACTCATGGCAGCTCTAAGAAGCAGGTGCCATTTTTATTCCCATTACAGATGACAAAGCTGGAGATTCAGACAGGCAAAGTATCTTGTCCAAGATTGCACCTTGTGGGGTGGAACTTAAATCCTGGATGCCTGCATTCTTCACGCTAGTACACATCCTTGTTAAGCATTTGGAATGCATGCATGCGTGCATCCAGTCCTCTCTGCTTGCAGCTCTCTACCCTCTTGACACTCAGAATGGTAACTGGCAGACCAGGTTATTGAAGAGCAGTCTCCATGGCAACAGGAGAAGGCAAAAGAAGTCTTTTCTTCTGAATGAGAAGCCTTTCCCCTTGGCCTCTCATGGAGGTGGCTGGAGGCTGTGAGTAGGCACACAGGCAGAGCAGGGTCCTAGGGCTGGTGCAGGTGGTGCAGGGGTGCCTGCTCCTTTTGAGGAGGAAAAAGCAGGCCAGTTGTCCCAAGTAGTGTCTATCTCCTGCTGGGGAGGAGAATGGAGGTGGAGCTCGAGTCCTGTCCTGCCCCAGGGCTCCTCTCCAACAGCACTTTCTACCAGTTTCTTCAACCTGCTGGAATTACCGGTCTGATAGAAGAAACCAACACTGAGCCCATTCTTATGAACAGCAACATTGTGTAAAAGACCACGAAGGTAAAGTGCTGGGGGCCATGGGAGGCTGTAAGGGGCTCCAGAGGCCTCACTTGGGCTGCAGGGCAGGGGATGGCAATGTCTCCAGGTATGTGGCATTTTAGCTGAGGATTTGGGGCCAATGTCAGGAGCCTGGAGCATTGCCACATTCAGGACTTGACCAGGGCCCAGGGCAAGGGTGAGGAGTAGAGGCTGCAGGCCAGAGAAGGATCTTAGACTGTATCTGGAGGTGGTGCCAAGTCTGGATTTCAAAAGGGAGTGGGTTATTACAGTTGCACTTGAATAAAGTTCTTGAGAAGACTGCTTTGGAAGCTTAGGGGTTGAGGAAGGAGGATCAGTCTGGGGGCTGTGGCCTGAGTCCAGGCACAGCACAAGCAGTGGACCCTCTTTCTCAGTCCCCTCGCACTCGTGTCCATGTTCCTTTCAGGCTCTGGGCATCCCCAGAGAACTCCCGGCCAAATCTATCCTAAATACCAATGCAATCTGTGTGTGCCTTTTGTCCCTTCTGCAAAGCGAAACAGTGGGAACTGGAAGAATTTCTAGCATTGGGAGATGAGAAACCATTAGGTCCTTTTCTCACATTGTGAATTGGATCAAGAGAGAAAACTGCTCCAAACAGAAATTCTAGTATAATGAATCCTTTTAGAGCAAACACTCACATAACGGGGTGAACACTGCAGGACGTCAGAAGGAACCCCTGCCTCTGTTGTGTGCCCCACCCCCGCCCAGGCATTATGGCATTCATTTTTAGTTTCCTCCAAAATTTTTCTGAGTATCCATTTTGTTCTCCATGCGTGCATAGCCCTCCAGGTTGCCATGTGGCTGGAGAAAGGTGAAAGAAGAGAGGGAAGGCTCTCTTCAGCTTTTCCCTTACCTCTGGGGCTTTGGGACCAGGCTGGGTTTCCTGGCTCTGACCCTGGCTCAGCCTTGGTGTCCTCCAAACCAACTGCTCCTAAAGAGAGGCAAGACTTTCAGGGGTGCTGGGTTCTGGGGTCCCATTTAACTGCTCCAGGCCGCTGTACTTGCTGGAGAAGAGGAATTCGGAGAGTTGGGTTTTCCAGTTTAGTTGGGAAAATGGAGTTAGTAAATAAAAGGTGGGATTGGCCTTTTGAATGCGGCTCTGGGTGGCTCTAAGCCCAGTTCTGTGTCTCCCCGTGGCACAGCCTGTGTCCCTTCTCTCTGTAACAAGTCAGCTTCCAGAAGAGAGTGGTTTTGTTTGGCTCTGTGTCTTCCCTCCATCATCCCAAGGCTCTTGGGAGAGGAGCAAAAGGACTTGAGCTGACCACAAGGTGGCACCAAACAACACATGTTCACATTAGATTGTCTCAGACCCCCCAAAGGGGACCTCTGAGGTGGTGAATAAACTCTGCCTGGGTCCCAGGGCCCAGGGCCCAGGCCTTCCAAAGTGGCTAAGAGAGCCTTACTCCCAAATCAGGCCTTCTAGCAGCGGCAGGAGCCCAATACCAAGGACACCCCAACTATCCTGACACCTGATAGGCTTCTTAGTTTCTGTGTTAGTTTTCCCCTAAGCCAGAAACCTGCCCCTTACTCTCTGGCTGCATCTCCAAGGGCAGATCCTGGGGAGGGAGGAGGAGGAAACAGAAAGAGGGAGGGTGTAGGACCCAAAGGCGGAAGGGTTGCTGTCTGGGACCCAAAAGGACTTAGAGTCTGGAACCAGGGCCAGGAAGGGTTAAGGAGGTCTTAGGGTTCCCTCCTTACTTCTCTAGTGGTCCCCAGGCCTCTCCTGCTTTCTCCTCTCCCCACTGCTTTTTTGAAGAAAGCCCAGCTGACTTCCTTCCTTTATGGGGTAGGTGGCACAAAAACAAATCCTGACTCAGTCATGATGGGTGGTAGGCAGGTGCCTCGTGTCAACATGAGGGTTTGTGGATGGCTAGGAGGTGAGGTTGCCTGTGGTGACCAGAGTGGCCTTGATGAATCTTTTCACCTTCCTCCACACCCCTCCCTGCAGGGCAAATCCCTATCTCAGCTGCTTAAGTGTCCTCTCCCCTTAATGAGCTTGTTTAAGCCCTGCCGGGCCTCTTCCCACCTGCAGCATGGATGCTGCACTGCTCCTGAATGTGGAGGGGATCAAGAAGACCATTCTGCATGGGGGGATGGGGGAGCTTCCAAACTTCATCACTGGATCCCGAGTGAGTGCCCCCACCAGATGGCTCCCCCTGTATGACCTTTGCTGAAAACCAGCCAGGCAGGCCCTTCCTGGACCTATCTACCCCAGGCATCTGGGACACTCTGAGTTGGTGCCCATGTGGGGATTTTGGTATTTTTCAGGTTAAGCTTTAATGTGGCCAAGAGGAGGGGTTTGGGGGGAGTTTTCTGGAGGCCTGAATGTTGAGTGAGAAGGAAGGGCCATGGTGGCCTCAGGGTCATGGTGTTACTCCTTACCACATGTCTGGTAGCTTTCCCCAGGCTGATGGATGTGTCCGTGGCCACATGGAACTTACTTTGGGAAGGACTTCCTGACACTAGAGCTGTACAAAGAGGGTGTGGGATCCTTTGGGAGGCAGTGGGTTCCTTGTCCTGGGCTGCCTGTAGGTGGTATTCTGGGTGTCTGAGGCATCTTGGCTTATCAGATATGGTGAGCTGACCCTGAGGACAGCCCTGAAAGTCCTCAACAGTGGGGGTGGCTTCTCAGGAACTTGGGAGGTGTGTGTAGACCAAGGTCCACTGTCTTGGTGACCAGGTGACCTTTCATTTTCGCACAACAAAATGCAACGAGGAGCGCACAGTGATAGACGACAGCAAGCAAGTGGGCCATCCCGTGCACATTATCATTGGCAACATGTTCAAGCTGGAGGTGTGGGAGACCCTGCTGATGTCCATGCGGATCAGAGAGGTGGCCGAGTTCTGGTGTGACACCACTGTGAGTAGGCCATGGTGGCCCTTCCCTGGATCTGTTCACCACCCATTTTGCAGAACCACTGGGTTTTAGGAAAGTCGGTGGTAAAAACAAACTCTGCAAGGCAAATCCCGTGTCCTAATGGGAATGGGCCCAACCAGTGCCACAGGTAGCATAGGGTCTGTGGGAGCACATGGTCATGGCAGCAGAAGAGAGCTTGCCCACAGCACAGTCCTCCCTTTTTGTACAGCATCATAAGATCTTGGAGACTTTTGGCCACTGATGACATTTTTACCCTCCTCCCCCACTCCTAACAACACTGCAATTTTTTTCATATTTATGGCACTTTTATAAATTATCCTTATAGTTTTAGCTCCTTATTCTGTGGCCCCTATAGAAATGTTAAAACTCACAGGCCATTAAACAAACATTTCTTATGGAAACTTTTAGACATACACAAAAGTTGACAAAAAATATAATGAACTTCCTAGTCTTCCTCCTCCCCCCAAGGCCAGCCACCATCAACACAGGGCCAGTCTTGCTCATCCACTCCCACCTTGCCTTCCTTACCCTACATGGTGAAAGCAAATTCCAAATACGGTAACATCTTGTCCGCAACCACTAAAATTTTTATCTCTAAAATATGAAACATAACCACAACAGCATTATTAAATCTGTTAAAAACTCAAGTAATCCCTTTCATGCTATCTAATTTCCAGTCATGGTTAGAATTCTCTGGTAGTCTCTTCCTGTACTCTTTATTAATGAATGCGGTTGGTTTGTTCAATCAGGAGCCAAACAAAGTCCATTCAGAGTGCTTTGCTGACATGTCTTCCAAGTCTCTGCCTATGGGGTTTTCCTCCCTCCCACTTTTTTTTGAGGGAGGGTCCCCGTGTAGCCCAGGCTAGCTTACAGCTCTTCATCTTCCTGCCTCAGCCTTCTACTGCTGGGCTTACAGATGTGCCCCATGCCCAGTCCTCCTTTTTTTATGGGCATGGGTAGAAGTTCCATATTCTGATTTTGCTGGTTTTTTTGCTGCATGAATGATCTAATATGTTTTTTTATTTTCCATACTTTCTATCAATCAGGAGTTTGATCTAGAGGCTTGATGAGATGCAGGGCTTGATGAGATGCAGGTCTTTCCTCCTTCCCTCTCTCTCTCTTTCCTTTCCTTTCCTTTCCTTCCTTTCTTTCTTCCTTCCTGCCTTTCTTTTTTCCCTTCCTCCCTTTCTCACTCTCTCCTTCCTCCCTCCCTCCCTCTCTCCCTCCCTCTCTCCCTCTCTTTCTTTCTTTCCAGAAGTGGGTCACAGATAGCATCTGTACCTCTTATTGAGATGCACACCATACCATTAAGATTGATTGTGGGGTTCAGGCATTAACAACCTGATCCATCCATCACAAAGCTCCTCTTGATTTTCATTATGGATAGTGGAAACATGGCCTCATTATTTTATAGAGAGTCAATGACCTTTTGAGAGAGCAATTTGGGAGAGGGACAGACCTGTGTTTGAACTCTCTTCTGTCTTTTTTAGCTATGCCCTCATCTATAAATAAAAAAGTAAGTCAAGGGTTGTTTGAGGATCACGTGATGTGACATAAACAAGGAAAGTCAGGGTAATTGAAATGTGGGAGCTATTATTTCATTTCTATTTTGGCCATAGAGTGCTGGTGTTTGAACTCAGGGCCTTGTGCTTGTGCTTGCTAGGCAGGTGCCATGGCCTCAGCCCTTTTTGCTTTCGTTATATTTTGAACAGGGTCTTGTTTTTATGCCCATGATGGACTGCAATTTTCCTATTTATACTTTCTTAGTGTCTGGGGTGACAGGCACACAGAGCACCCAGCCATTTTAATTTTTGTGAGCGAATTTTTATTTTATTTATATTTTAATTTTTTTGGTGGTATTGGAGTTTGAACTCAGAACCTCATGCTTGTGAGGCAGGCACTGTACCACTCCACTAGCCCAACACCCAAATTTTATTGCTTGAGATGGAGTCTTGTGAACTTTTTGCCCTGTCTGGCCTTGAACTTTGATCCTTCTGATCTCTGCCTCCTGAATAAGTATGATTTCAGCAATGAGCCACTGCACCCAGCTGGAAATATTATTTTGAGTTAGAAGATTAACTCCTTCATTTTACTAATGAGGAAGTGTAATGTTCAGAAAGAGAAAGTAACTTGCTCTGGACAAAGAAGTTAAGGACAGAATCTGGGTGGGGCCCTGGTCCTCTTGTCCAGTGCCATGTTTCTTGTTTGTGTCTAATAGAACAAGATGTAACATCATCCTCTACCACTAGGCGATCCTATCCAACCCAGCACTCATTCATGCTACTCACTCAGCAAACCAGTAAACATCAGTTGAGCATCTTTTCTTTGTATCAGTCCCAGTGTTACACATTTTGATGTTTGTATCAAGTCAAGGCTTCATAAATTTATTCTGTGGTTGCAGCTAGTTTAAAGTTATGTCTTCTGGCTGCTTACAAAGAGGACCGCCTGTGCTTGGCAGACACATGCACCTTAATTCAGACCATGTGACAAAGTCTTGTCGCCAAGAGCTCCCTCTTCTTGGGGTGTCCACTGCTAACCCAGAGGAGTTTCATGCATGGAGGGCTGTCAATAAATTCTTGACTAGATGATTGATTTGTTGTTTGCAAAACTACAAGCTCCTACTATCCCTGCAATGTAGACTCTTTGTTCCCTGTGGTGTCTGTGTTCTTTTAGCAACATCAGTAGTCATGAGCACACTGCCCATCTCACAGGCTGGTAATGCTTATACCACAGGATTGTTGATTCCCCATCTCCTCCTCCCAGCCCACAGCTGCCACAATGACCTGTACACACACACATACACACCCCCCATAGATACACATAGACACATGGAAGACACAACAGACACTGACACATATGCACATACACAATTTCTATTAATATAAATGCATTCTCATTTTATTCATCTATCCACTTCTCACTCAGCCAGCCCTCTATCTACCCAGCCATGAATTCATTCATTTATCATTCCCTTCAATTAATGTTCATTCATAATCTAGTCTTTCATTGCTAAGCAACTATATCTATCATCTATCTATCTATCTATCTATCATCAGTCATCTATCATCTCCTTCTGTCTGTTTTCTCATTCCATTTATCCATCTACTCATCTAGCAGACCCCTGATTTGCCAATTCTGGATGTTAGGAATGAAACAGACAAAGCTCCCAACACTCAGGGACTTAAATTCTGGAGGGAGAACAGACATAAATGAGCAAGAGCAGAGTGTTTTGGGGCCACAAAAGAGGGACAACTATCTGCTTAGGTTCTTGGGGGACTTCTTCAGAAAGATCACATTGAACTGGGTCTTAAAGAATAAATAGGAGTTTTCCAGGCCTAGAAAGTGGGGGAAAGAGGTAGCATTCAGGCCAGAAGATGTGAAAAGGCTTGGCATGGTGCATTTAGTTAGCCATTTCTCTGTGGGACATTGTTCCACCCAAGTACTGGAGTTATGCACAGATTGAGTAATCAGCAGGACAATCGCCTGCATTTGACAAAGGACTGAAGAGGACCTGACTGCTGCATGGGTCCCTGCAGAGCCCTCTGCTGGGACAGTCCTCACGGGAGCTTACGTATCTGCAGGAACAGTGCTTTCCCCTCTCTCTCCCTCTTTCCCTTAAACCGGAGAGGTAGGATCAGTGATGGGGTCTGGGTGGTTCTGCCCTGAAATGCATCCCTTTCATTCCCCACAAGGAGGATGCTGGTCTCCCCTGGGATTTGTTGCAACCCTTTTGGGAGGCTGGGTTGTAAACTTACATTCCACAAGGGTCTGAACCCTTGTCTGCCCCATCTAAAGTGGGCTGCTGCCTCCTAGCTCCATTTGTAAGGGGGCCAGGTAAAAGGGGCAGGCTCAGTGAGGAAGTCCAGTATGTCCAGGACACGGGCCAGAAATCTTCCTTAGCATATATTTAAACATTGACAACTAATCTAAACAGAAAAACAACCTGCACCATCTAGGCTTACATAGAGCCAACTTGAGAGTTGGGCTGGTCTAGGGTTCAGGTTGGCAGCCTCCAGCACAGACAGGTCGGCAGACAGCCAGGCTCTGGCTTGGATGCCAGAGGAGCCCAGTTGCAGCCTGGGGGACTGAGGGCATCCTAAGGCAGGAGTGGCTTTATGGAGCCCTGTGTGTGGCTGCCTGTGGCCTGCAGCCTGGCAGGGGAGGCCTATTTGTGCTTCCTCCCCACCCCAAGGTGGGGCCTGAAGATCCCCTCCCTCTCTCAGCCTGTGTCTGAGGCTCTGGCTCTGGGTCCACACTACTGCTCATCTTGCTAGGTTGCTGGGTCAGGGCTAAGAGTGCAAGCCCATCTGGGCTGCTCCCTCCCTTAGTCCAGCCCTAATCCCACCAAGCTTGCCTGCCATCTGTCTTCTCTTTCACCAGGCAGCAAAGGGCATCTGGGTTAATCCAGGCCAGTGGGGGTGGGGAGGGTGACCTTCAACTCCAGATTCAGCCCATCACTGTCCCATTAGCTTATGGTGCTGGAGCTACATGTGTCCCAGCTAGGCCTCTCTGGAGCCAAGCCAGGGAGATGGGCAGAAGTAGAGGCCCAGCACAGAGCAGGCCTGCTGAGCCCAGAGGCTTGTTCTCCCAGTCCTTCTCTATATCAGCTCTCAGTGCTGGGGGAGACTGTAATGAGCAGATCTACCTCTTCATCACCCCACTAATTCTATCGTGCCCCCACTCTGGTCATGTGAGACCAAGGAAACTGGGATGCAGGGAGGCATGGTGAGCTGCGCTCATTGCTAAGCAGTAGTCCTGGGAACTGCAACTCTCCTGCTCCCTCCGCTGCTGCTTGCTGCCCTCTCTGTGAGTGCTAGGGTGTGTGAAGATTTTCTGGGAAGAGAGATGGTAATAGTCTGCCACAAGCCAGCAAGAGGCAGTCTAAGGCTAAAAGCCTGTCTGGGGAGATGGGTTTGAATCTAGCCTCTATCACTGGCTCGCTGTGTGGCCTGAAGCATGTTGCTCAACCTCTCAGGGATCTAATTTCCTAATCTTAAATATGGAATATTAAAAACGCCCTTCCTTATTGGTTGACATAAGGACTGAAGGAGCCCACATGTATGATCACAGTCGTCATGGGTGGGTGTCGTGGGATGTGGGATTCTGCTGTGGGGGCACACAGTGGGACTTTTTGTGACCTAGCTGGCTCTGAACAGATGGCTCACAGGACTACTGTTCATCTCTTTCACAGCACACAGGGCTCTACCCCATCTTGTCCAGGAGTCTTCGGCAGGTGGCCGAGGGCAAGGACCCCACGGACTGGCATGTACACACCTGTGGGCTGGCCAACATGTTTGCCTACCACACGCTGGGCCATGAAGACCTGGATGAGCTGCAGAAGGAGCCACAGCCCTTGATCTTCGTGATTGAGCTGCTGCAGGTGGGGCTGGGGGGCTGTCCTGGTGTCAGAGAGGTACACCATGGGGACCCCACCAGCCCAACCCCTTGCTGGGCATGGCCTGCAGTAGAGAACAAGAATGTGTTCAAGAGCCACAGGAAGATTGGAATTTGGAAAAGAAAAAAAGTCTGACTTTTCCAGGGTTCTACTTGGAACTTTTTACTGGGGTTTGAACTCAGGGCGTGGAGTTTGCTAGGCAGGTGCTCTACCACTTGAGCCACACTTCCAACCTTTTTTGCTCTGGTCATTTTGGAGATAGGGTCCCACTTTTTCCCCAGGCCGGCCTGGACCTGATCCCCCTATTTACATTTCCCATCTTAGCTGGGATGACAGGTGCTCATTACCATGCCCAGCTCTTGGTGGAGATACTTTTTTGCCTGAACTGGCCTTAACTACCATCCTCCTCATCTCAGTCTGCCAAGTGGCTAAGATTACAGGCATGAGCCTGTAATCGGCTCCTGGTTGGAACCAATTTTTTAAAAACTGTGATTCATTTTCATCTTGGGAGTGTTTTTTCTTCTACTCCCATTTTTGTTTTCAAAAGCTTAGGATTTTCCTTTGGTCCCTGTGGCTTGTGAGTTTGGACTTGGTTCTGGAATACTGAGAGAGGCTGTGTGAATAATATCCTCTCATTCAGATCTCTGAGTGGTAGTTTATATTTGTAGGCCTCTGAGAAAGGACTTGGGCTAGGGTCAAGGCCAGGTCAGGACTCAGCTAATCACTGAGGCTCAGCTTGAGGGCTACATAAGTGAATAAAAATGAAAGAGAACTGTGTGAACCAAGGATCTTCATAGACCTACTCAAATAGTTGTGTGGTCTGTGCACTGCACAAGTGCATGGACAGCGCTCATTAGAGACATGGCATGTTTGTACTTTTATAATGACAATTTCCCAGCAGGTGGCACCAAAGTGTCTTGTTCTACCAAAATGAGTATTCACCATGATTGTCTGAAGGACAGGGCCCTGGGCCTTGTTGCTTCCTTCCCCTGTTGGAATACCAGTAAGCGTAGCTCTTCCCTGTCGGAATGCAGAACTGACTGCGGGGAGGTGTGGGGCCTCTCTCTGCCTCCCTGACTTGTAGCTCTTGTCAGGTTGAGGCCCCCAGTGAGTACCAGAGGGAGACGTGGAACCTGAACAATGAGGAGAGGATGCAGGTGGTGCCCATTCTCCACGGAGAGGGAAACCATCTCTTCAAGCTGGGACGCTTCGAGGAGGCCTCTACCAAGTACCAGGAGGCCATTATCTGCCTGAGAAACCTGCAGACCAAAGTAGGAGGCTGCACTGCAGGCTGGGATGGATGGGGCTGTCCCCTTGGAGCTTCCCTGTATGGGTGGGGTGGGGTGGGGGTTGGGGGAACCTGAACTTGGCTGATTTTCTGGTGGTGCAGGAGAAGCCCTGGGAAGTGCAGTGGCTGAAGCTGGAGAAGATTATCAATACCCTGGTCCTCAACTACTGCCAGTGTCTGCTGAAGAAGGGGGAGTACTATGAGGTGCTGGAGCACACCAGTGACATCCTCCGTCACCACCCAGGTGCGTGGCTGGGGGAAGAGGTGGGGCAGGGACCTCATACACAGACTTCTTTTCCTGCCCTGTGAGGCCCCAAGGCTTGTCTCCACACAGCAGTTTTCCCCCAGTGTGAACTCCGTGGTGGTCACATTTGGACACATAGGCCAGTAGTTCAGCAAACCTGTGATTTCGTGGAGTAACAACTAGGTCTTTTTAAAGAAGGAGGCAAGCAATTTGGAAGAAAATATTCCATCTAAACTAGTACTGTGGTGTGGGAGGTGGCCATGTGTGTGTGTGTGTGTGTGTGTGTGTGTGTGTGTGTGTATGTGACTGGAGTTTGAACTCAGGGCTTTGCCCTTGCACAGCAGGCGCTCTACGAGCTTGAGTCACACCTCCAATCCATTTTGCTCTGGTTATTTTGGAGATGGGGATTGCAAAAAAAACTATTTACCCAGGCTGGCTTCAAACCTTGATCCTCCCAAGTAGCTAGGACGACGGGCATGAGTCTGTGATAAAGGTACTTGAATAATGATACAGTAACAGCATCAAATATTCAAGGGCCTGGCACCAGGTCTAGTCTTTATTACCTCATTTAGCCCCATCATCCTCCTAGTCACTGTATGGGGTAGGTGCAGGAATAGGGCTGAAAGGTGTACAATTTGGGGAGTCCCTACAAAGAAAAGACCACTAAATTCTGAGTATAAAATTGGCTACAGAGCCTGGGAAGGGTCTGTGCAGGGGAGGAGTAGGTGCTGTTATCCTATCTATTGTGTCCCTTTCACAGTTGTGGAAACTGAGGCCCCCAGGATAGGACAGGCTAAGGATCAGGGGCAGGGTTCCTGGTGCTGTCGCCTGGAACAGGCGTCCCAGGGAACAGGAGTCCCAGGCAGGGCAGATGGCTGCAGCGCGCTCCCCACCTCAGGCACCGTGAAGGCCTACTACGTGCGCGCCAGGGCCCACGCGGAGGTGTGGAACGCCGCGGAGGCCAAGGCGGACCTGGAGAAGGTGCTGGAGCTGGAGCCGTCCATGCGCAAAGCTGTGCGCAGGGAGCTGCGGTTGCTGGAGAGTCGCATGGCGGAGAAGCAGGAGGAGGAGCGGCTGCGCTGCCGAAGCATGCTGAGCCTGGGCGCCGCGGAGCCGGGGTGCCAGGAAGGCGGGGCGCCGCTGAGCCAGGGCGGCGCGCTGCCACCGTAGCCCCATAGCTCCGCGTCCCCAGCGGCGTCTGTCGTTATACCGACCCCTCTGAGTTCCGCAGTCTGCCCTGCACCCAAGTCCTGAGCAGGTAGCCTGGGCATTTCTGGTTCCATTGGGTAGGATTTTGTTGTCACTTTTTAACATTTAAAATTAAAATGTGAAGGCTGGGAATATAGCTGCGTGGTGGAGAGCAAGCCTGGCAAGCCGAGGCCCTGGGTTTGATCGCAAACACCAAACAAACAAAATTCATCATACATGTCCTTGGTAAAAATAAAATAAGCATAAAAGAAGAATAAAAGCAAAGTTCCTCCCCCCACCCCGCCCCTGGTTTTTATTCTCCTAGTAATTTTCTCTGTCTCCAAATAATGTGTACACCACGCCCCCCCCCCCCCCCCGCCACATGTCATTTTACCCGGTGTCAATGAAAACATGGGGATGTGACGCCTTGGCACTTTCTTACCCCTTTCCTCTCTTTCCCCAGATTTTGGAATATATTGTGGGGTTCTCTCTCTCTCTCTCAACACTGGGTCTCCCTATGTAACCAGAAGCATCCCAGGACTCTGCTCGGTCCTGTCTTCTCCATCTAGTGTGCACATCTCGCCTTCTTAGGCACCAGGACATTTGCAAACCCAAGTGTGGTGGGAGGTACCTTAAAGACATCTTGTCCTATTTTACTGTCATCCAGGACTAGAGAATGGAACAGTAGAAGCACTTTTCAGAAACCACTGCATTTACGCCCCACTAGTGCAGAGGAGATGGAGACAGCAGTAGGGAGAGGAGCAGGCAGCTGCTTTTCCAGAGCTCTGGGGCGTGCACGGGCTTCCTTCTGTCCCTTGGAAATTGGCTGTAGCCGGAGCGGACAGCAGGGGGCAGCAGGGAATAAGCAGACAGGTCCTGCAGCTAGGTGCTGGAGTCCAGGAACAGCGACCCATCTCTGACTTCTGCAGGGTCCCCAGTTCAGGAAAGCTGGTGAGATTGCCAGCAGACTAGGACCTCAGACACAACCCAGTCCTGTTGTCTTGCACAGCCAGCAAGATGAACCTCACAGAGGGGCAGTTTTTGCTGGATCCAATGTCAAACCCAGGGCAGATCCCAGATTGGCATCCACACTGCCTAACTTCTGGACTGGGCTGCCTCTCCCTCATCAGATGGTCCATACTGGGTGTGAGGCACTAAGAAAAAAAGGAAAGGGGAAATGTGAAACCCTGTGAGGAAGCAGCTCGGGACTCGCGAGTGGCTTTTGTCTGGGAGTGGTTAGAGAGGGTGGCCTGAAGGGCCTGTTGATTGTGCAGCACCCTGGCCTGGTCTCTCCCTGGAGAATCAGTAAGCTGGGCATTTACTCCAATCACCTTCGGTGGTCCTTTGATAAGGACCCGGAGACCAAGAGGTAATTTTGGAAGATTGAACGGGTCTGGATGGCTACAGGAGGGAGAGAGGTGTCCACACTTCCAGCCTGCTCCCCGCCCCCACACCTTGTGGCTTTTGCAGGTGTATTGCTGCTAAAGCAGAGCAGCTTTTTCTTGACCATCCTGGAGGCCAGGAGTCCTGAAATGGGTCGGCAGGACTGCATTCAACCTGGAGGCCCTCCTTTGCCTGCTTTTAGAAGCTCCTGCCTTCCTTGGTTCCTGGCCCCTTTTTCCCTCTTCATAGCCATTCAGGGTATACCTTCTGGGCTCTTTGTGTCCCTCAGCTTTCTGTCACCACCTCTGCTCCTTCTGTCTTCCTCTTAGAGGAACCTTAAGGTTTCATTGGGCCCACCTGGATAATTCAGAATAATCTCCCACCTCAAGATCCTTGATTTACCTATGCCTGCTGAGCCTCTTTGTCATGTAAGGTAACTACTCACAGGTTCTGAGATTGAGGATATGGTGAGCATAATTAGTTTCCACTTTTCCACCTGTTCTTGCCCTGCTCATTCCCTAGAGTCTGTCTTCCTTCTGCTCTCCAGCTAGGTTGGGCCCACCGAGGGCAGCAGCAGGAGATCTGCCAGTGGAAGAATATTTTCTCAAGTCCCTCCTTACTGGGCTGTGGTGGGATAGTTCTGTGCTCTTGACCTGTGATTGCAACTGGTGCCTGGGCCGCCCCTCTTGCTGGCCCAGAACAGCAGTGTGGCCCAGGTTCTACAGGCCTAAGTGTGGTAATAGCCTCCTTCTCTCTGGGCTCCCTGGTGGTTCCCAGTGCTTCCCCGCACCTCCATTCTGCTCTCTGGCAACCTCTCTGAGCAGGCTACTTGTTTTCTGCCAAGAAACACTTGCTTAGCTATCACATGTTCTCTCGGCTGGAGGAGGGCAGTGTTGCTGAGAGGTGGAGAGCACGCTCAGAGTGGAGCTGCAGTGCCAGAATTTGAGGCCAGGCCCTGACATCACAAAGGAGGACTAGAGTTGACATTTCCGGTCCTCCTGCCCTCCTCTCCAGTCCCAGTAGTTGACAGCACTGATGCCCTCAGTGGTGAAGGGTCTGGTCTGAAGAAGGGCTAGGGCAGAAGCACTGGCAAAGAACCTGCCCAGGATCTGGAGGTTGAACTTGGCAAAGGAGCAGCGCGCTTGCCCAGGTTATGCTTGTCACAAAGCCAAGGCACCTTCCTGTCTGCGAGAAATGGCCAGGCAACCTCGGTTGCATTGAATTAAGCAAACAGTTCATCCTGTGGGGGCTTCATGGGGGCTTGGCGTGAGCCCTTTGAGGATAACCACAGACACTTTTTGAGCACCTCCTCCCCACCTCAAGGTGAAACCTGTGTCTTGTGTGGGTCACATGGCTGTAAGTGGCAGAGCCCAGAATTGGTGCATGTGGGTCGGATCCAAAGCCTGGAGCCCTATCACCCGCACATCCAATGGTCAATAAGACAAGGGTGAACAGGCTTCAAACTCGGTAGATCAGAGTTTGACATTTCTGTCAACTTCCAGCAAAGCCATTAGTCTTTTGGAGCTGTGGAAGTGGTTTGGGATGTCCTGATTTCCTCCAAATAATAGATCCTTCCTAAGGACAGTGAGGGAGCCCCAACCTCATCATGTCACCCCCCATGATGCTGACACTGGTGTCAGGCTTTCTCTGACACCAGCATTGGGATTCTTCCTTTCTGGGCTTGCTAGAGCTCCATCTTCAACTTCACCTTAAGTGACTGATCTTTGAGTTGGGGGCATCTGGCCACCTCTGAGTAGGAGCCGCTGTTTGGGAGGGGAGCCGTGTGCTGCTTGGCCTCCTTCCTATCCCTCCCCTCTGGGTTTTAATGGGAAGGCAAGGTAAACCCCCATTCTTATTTATGGTGGAGTCTGCGCAGCTCCTGGCCTAAGTATAATTGCTCCATTACTTCAGGTATTCTCATTAGTGTAAGAATGTGATGAACAAAGAATCTCACTGTTCCTCTCGCCACCAATAAAAATATCATTTGAAGAAGTAGTGGAGCGTTTGTCCCTCCTAGCAGGCCTGAGGCTGTCAGCTTTCACTGAGTGTGACAATCTCTGCATGGCAGAGACCTTCATCAAGTTTGCTTGCTGTTGTGTCCCCAGAAGCTAGAATCATGTCCAGCCTGAAGTGGGTCTCTGAAATGTTGGTTGAATGAGTGCATGCTGCCTCATTTCTCGCATGTGCAAGGACCCTCAGAAATTGCTTGTGACATACCACTCTGCAGAAACTGAGGCCCAAGAGAGGACACAGTCAAGGTCACAACAGTGAGTTGCTGGTGGGGCCGGTGTTGGGATGAAGTTATCGGCTCCTAGTAGCATTTTCTGCCAGCCCACTCACCATTTAAATTGTTTTTACCACACCATTTTCTTTCTCTTCCACCATTCTTCTTCTTCTCTCCTCTTTGGTAGCACTGGAGGAGTTTCTTCTCTTTGGAAACTGTCAACCCACATTCTTCTCTTCCTCCACATTCTTCTGAGGCCCTGGCCCACCGGCTTTCTCATGACAGGCTGTGCATCGTCAGCCCCCAGCCTTTCTGGGGGTGAGGGGGAAGAGGGAGATGCTCTCCCTGTGTGGCTGGAGACCCTGGCCAGGCAGGACCCCAGGCAGTCCTGCTCACTCCTCTTGGAGGGATGGAAGAGGGACACCAGGAGACTGAAGCAGAGTGATCCCTGCCTCCAGGTGCTGATAGGTGTGCAGTGCAAACTGGAGACCAATTGATAGCTGCATTTCCCCATGGGGCCTGAGACACAGGGAAAGCCAATTGGCAACTGAGAGAGGAAAAGGGGAGGTGGAAGGGTACAGGGAGGGAAAAGGAGTGTGGAATGAGAGGGAGGGATGGGTGGGGTGCAGGCCCCTGACAGAGCCAGCCTGCTGCAGCTGGCATTCAGAGCAGCTGGCAGGAGCCTCAGCTTCTTTGAAACAAATCCAACTCCTCCATTCACAGCCATTATTCGGACAGGGATGTGTTCTTTAAGAAAAACTGCTGTTTAAACAATCCTCTTCATGTCATCCTTGGGGGAATCAGGACCCAAGGTCAGATACTTTACTTGCTCAGCCCTACTCTATGTTGCTGGGTTATAAGCTCCAGGGGAACAGAGGTGTCCCTCTCAAGGCTTCTTGTGGACTGGGATGGGGACATGCAGAGGCAGGAGGCTGAACTTAGCTCCACTTCTCTCTGACAGACATCTGGGTGAGACTTGCCTCTTCCCTGCTTTTGTTTTGTCACCTGAAAAGGAAGAGTTGAGTCTGGGTGATGTCTATAGGCCTTCCCTATGCCAAAGCCTGCAAGGGAAGGCACCCCTGGTGACCTGGGTGTAGCTCTAGTCCAAGTCTGAAGGCCTGGGAACCAAGAGAACTGATGTGTAAGTCCCAGTCCAAAGGCCAGAGAAGACCCATGTTCCAGTCTAAGGCAGCCAGGCAGGAGGAGTTCCTTCTGCTAGAGGAAAGGATGGCTTTCTTGTTCTAGTCAGACCTTCAACTGATTGGATGAGGCTCACACACAGTAGGAAAAGGCAATCTGCTAAACACAGTCTGTCGATTCAAATGTTAATCTCAGCCCAAAATATCTCACAGTCACACCCTGCATGTGTTTGGGG